CGTTCTTACTAACGATGCACCCAAGAAGTGGTATTTCGCTTGCTGCAAATATACACTTCTTGAGGTTGGCATACAATTGATGCTTTCGCATGATTGTAAGAACCTGTAGGACGTAATATCTGTGAACCTCAACATCCGGCTTTCCATCCATAGCCCGACTATGGATGAATACGTCATCGAAATAACTCAGCTCAAATTCTCGTACTGGTCTCAACAGATGTGATACACATCTGTTGAACGTGGCAGGGGCATTACTAAGCCCTTGTGGCATTACTAGCCATTCACAGAGCATGCCGCTAGGCGTGCTCACTGCGGTATAGGGTATATCCTGTTCTCGCACAAAGACTTGATAGAAGCCATCCAACAAATCCATGGACGAAAAGATGGTACTCTTTGACATACCATCAATGACTACGTCCTTCCTTGGTATCGGCGTCTGAGCCGGTACCGTTGCAGCATTCAACTTGTTAAATGCATGCACTATCCGCCACCCTCCTGTTGCTTTTCGCACACAGAAGGTCGGAGAGCTATGTGGGGAAGTTGATTCCCTCACATGGCCCGCAGCTAAACGATCGGCAAAGAACTTGTAGATCGCAAGTACTTGTTCACGAGGCAGTGGTCACTGCTTCATGACACAGTACTTCGAGCCTGGTTTAAGCTCGACCTCGTGCCGAGTACCTTTATCCTTCGGTAACTCGCACGGAACAGTTTCAGGGAATACATCCTTGAATTCAACCAAATCTTCATGGAGAGGATTTGTCTTGAGCGATTCCCACGATTGGGAGTCATATCGCTCAACTCGTGTCTTTTCATCGAGGACACTCTCGTCCATCGATGAACTACTGAGAACTCTCTCGTTCTCAGTGAACACTGTTGCTGACCTTATGTCGGCTACACACTCGTCGTCAGCGACGAGTACGCAGATCTGCTTGACTTTGCCACTGCGCAAATCACGCAAGAACCTTTTATGTTCAAGCGTTGGCAACTGAGTGATCTCCGAAGTCAACTTCTGAGGCGCAATCAGATCAAGTGTATAAGCGCCTACACTTGATCCGTTATTGACTATGACATTCAATGTCTCTGTCATTTCCTGGGGACTTATTCCCTCAGGTCTCGAAGGACTTATTCCTTTGGCTTCCCGGGGACTTATTCCCGCGGGTTTCGGGAAACTTATTTCCGTCGTATTTGTAATATCGGGACTTATTCCCTTAACTTCCTCTAGCTGGGGTTGCGCAATCACAGCGAGATCCTCTACAAAAGACTCTCCAGTCGATCTAGGATTATCGTTTCGCTTAACCTGAGCGATCGATTGTTTCTCTTCTAGATGTTCCCCGCTAGGGATACATCTTTGTCCCAGTCCACCCGACTTATTCGAGTGGTGGACCTTCGGCGCAGCCTGTGTTTCCTCACAGCCGCCGGAACTTTGCTCCGAAGTGTAACCGTTTGGTACACTAAGGTTTTGTGCAGTCGTACTAACGACCGTACCACAAGTGAGGCCATCGCACTCACTCGTAGTACATCCACACGCTTGTGGTTGCTCCAAAACGTTCATCAGATGGCCATCTGATGAACAAGCGGCAGGCATCGTTACTGTTCGATGTTGCCAGTTTACCCGTGGTTCGTACCTTCTGAGCCACGGTATTCCAAGGATGACATCAAATTTGTCATTCAGATCCAATACGATAAAGTCATCGTCATATTGGGTATCTTCTAGCGTATAGTAGATCTTCACTATACGCTTCATGACGGTTACGGATGCGCCTGTCGCAAGACGTACCGTCATCCTCGTAGGAGGTGTGTCACAATCACTGAACTTAAAGTGACCATCTTCTAGTGATTGGCGTCGCACAAAATTGTTGGACACCCCACAATCGACTAGAGCTCGAAGTGACAACTTATTTGTCACTTCGAGTTTCAAGGTAATGAGTGAGATCTCATTACCTAGAGCAGCAACGCACAACGTTTGTGTGTTGGGAGCAACCTTCATCAAGAGGCCTACAAATGCTCTTGACGTTGCTGGACCAGTAGGATGCTCCGCACCTACTGATCCTGTCCGTTTTTTGACGGTCCATCCCGTTGTTGCGTCTTTGCACCAACAGCGGAACCGCGTCCCTGCCCCTTTCTCATGAATGGACGGTCACTACGCCCAGTGTTGCGAGACACTGGACGAGGAGCACTACACTCGTAAGCGTAGTGTCCTGTCTTCTGACATCTGTTGCATTTCTGCAACTTCTTGTAGTCTGTAGAGCGAGCTTTCTCGCTCTCTACATAACAGAGTTCCATCGGCTCTAGACTTCCGTTGTCATATCGTCTCGATGGACGATATGATGTCGAGCTGGCGATGGCCTGTCTCAGACTGAAGTCTTCCTGTTCCGCAATGTAAATGGCTTGTTCTAGTGAATCTAGTTCAAGTCGGAACAGGTGAGTCTTGACGGGACCATCCGCAAGACCCTGCATGAACACCGAAACCAACGTGTGTTCATCCACCGGATTGGAACTTATACAACTCGTGAGATGTCGTATATGTTGCGCGTAAGCGTGCACATCACGCTTACCTTGTCTGAGCTTCAAGAGTTCAGTTCGAGCTCTGAACTCAGCTCTAGGCTGTTCAAACGTTTGTCTGAGCCGCGACTTGAAGACTTCCAACGACCCAAACGCATATGGGTCGTGCAACTTGAGCCCCAGTGCCCAAGTCTTGGCACGTCCTGTCCGATTTGATTGGTCAAATGCAACTTGCATATCCCCGTCGTCGATGCGACGCACCCTTATGGCGTTGTCCAATTCGACGAACCATCTCATGAGGGAGTCCTCTTGGACTCCCCTATGCTTGGAGATGTCATTCTTCAAGGTCTCGGGTCGGCGCGAGTGCATCGACCCACCAGCAGCGGCCTGCTGCTGTCTCAACAGTTCAAACTGTTGAGCACCCTGTTCTCTCAACAACTCTGCTTGTTGAGAACCTTGTTGGTGAAGCAAGGCTACTTTCCCGCGTTCAGCGTCAGGTTCATTTTGAATGAACTTGGCGATAGTAGCTTGTTGGACATCTCTATTGAGAGCCTCTAGCATGACGCTAACAGCATGGATGCCCATGGTTGAACCCATTCGTTCAACCGCATCCCATTCGACATCGCTCAAATGGGAGTAGCCGTCACGCGTAGCGTGAAAGCTTTGGTCATCTCCATCATCTAACATATTCATGTTGGATGTGAACGTGGTCCTTGGATGGACTACGAAGAGCTACCAGGTGTAACGGGGCACCCTGAAGCTTGTACTGGTGACAGTACAAGCTACTTATTCTGATGACAGAATAAGGCGGTGCCTCGGAACTCTACGTACACTCGTACGTGCAGAGGAAGACGGTAAGAAGAAGCGAGTACTTGCTCAAAGTAAAAAGTAGAACTGGATTTAGTATAGTTAATGTCTGCAATAAATCACTATTTATCTTCATCTAACTATGTCTGAATACAAATGTGTAAATGAAATATCTGCTCACCACTCATTGCGTGCGTCTGTCGTGGCGTGTCTTCGTTGGCTGATATAATGGCCTATATCAACCAATTAGGAACTACTCGTAAGTGCTACAGAATATTTGTCCTAATGACTATATTCTGATAATATAACTCTTGTAGTTATATTCTATTACCAATTTCTTATAAATTGTTATGTGACGATTCACCCCGTTACAATAGCTGTCAGTAATGGGACAAGTTAACTAACGGCCATCGCATCAGCGATCCGGGGTGCGAGACTACATGGTGGTGAGCGTTCAAAAGGATAGATGCCGATGCCTGTATGAGAAACCTGCTCGGTAGTACTGGAAAACGAAGCGAGTTTAAGTAAGTCGACGGAGATCCGAGGGGAATGGACGTCTTAATTAATTTTGTAAGTTGCAACACATCCGGTCTTACACTGTAAGTGGGGAACTGTGAGTATCTTAGTAGCGCCAAGCACTGTAGATTGCAACATAAAATCACGGATGCTATAAAACATAGCCACAAAATCTTTTAGGGTTGCGCCTTGCACGTGACGTCAAGAAAGCATAAAAAGGTGGATGCGATGGTATAATTTAGCCGCTAAAATTGTACGATTAGGATCTCGCCATTGTCGATAAGGCGTAGCAGACGTGATGAGCAATTATATACCGAGGAGTTCACAACTCAATTGATATGTGTGACGCCATCAATCAGCGTCGATAGTTTAGTTTGTTGCACTGGTATATACCTAATGTCCGATTACTAGGTTAGTATTTTGTAAACCCCTTGTAGTCGCTGTGTACTAAGTCAGGCATCTCCTTCGGTTAAAAGCGCAACTTGTTTATGGGCATCAAATTACCAAGGATGCACGACCCTAAAAACCAAAAATATCTGGATTAACGCTGCTAAACACACCGGAGCGTTGATACAAGCTGAAAGCTTTCATTCATATCTGCGATTAGAGTGTCCAGTATAGTGGGAAAACTTACAATGTTGATACATTGTTGGATGCGCCAACTACTGCTGTGCTAAGAGGCATTAATGCAACAAAGGTTTAACCTTGCAAACGATGCCGCCAGGTGGCCATACTCGGTTGTAGAACTTTATACCTTGTTATCTAAAATGGGTGCTAAGGACTGACTACGCTATGGAGTCATCCACAGCCTAAGCATGTAACAAAGCGGCATCCAATGTACACTTGACTTTTCAGGTCTATAGACGCCTATTGTCGGAAATGTGTGAAATCACAGCGTTCGCGACCGTGACTTCGTCTTGTATATCACTTATAAAACCGCAATGGACCGACCTTTTGATCCTTGACCTCAAGCTGGTTGCAAACTTGTGCCATGTGCATACATGTCGAGCGCTACTTTTTAACAAGCACAATTATCGTCTTGTGCTTGCACGAGGACGAAAGTTTCGGTGTTTGCGCAAATCCTTACGCACATCGAAACGCACCCGGCTGCCAAAAACATTTTAAACGTCTTTTCCTGTGACATGGAAAGACGTACAAAGCTGCAGCTGGACCGTTTACGCTTCAAGCACTTGCTGTGGCTGAAGACCGATGGGGATAATGTTGCGCAGCAGGTAGTTCTCGTTGTTTGCCTCCACGTGTGCTAGATCGTACTTGTAGTTGATCATCATTCCAGCACTTTGAGCAATTCCCTACGTACAATAATACAAGAAGACAAACAGCAAAGCTGAGCATACACGTGTACGACAACCGATTACACTGGCTACGAACCTTCCTGGACGGATCTGCCAGCCAGTTGATGCGGTCAAAAATTGCGCCATTTCGAATGTGGAAGTTTGCGACAGGATCTAGCGCCTTTCCCCGTTTCTTCTCGATATAAATGTAGCGAGCACCAAGCTTCAGCAGAATAGGCTCCAGCGCTGCACCCAGCTGTGAATGCTTGTCCCAATCTTCGATCGAGAGCGCATCTAAAACGACTGCCACTGCGGTGGACGTTGCTGAGTTGTAAGTGATTTCACAGTTGTCCAGCTCTTCCATGAGAGTGTTCAAATGTAGAGGGGAAACTAATGACGCGTCAGCATTATACCGCTGCGTCTCGAGCCACGACATAAACTGTGGCATAGGGCTCAGCGTTGCAAACGTTTGGAGATGACCGTACTCCGTCTTCAGCGCTTTGGCGACTTCTTTGATGAGAAAGTTGCCGAGGTCGACGCCCTGCAGCCATACAAAAAGGTATAGTAATTGAGCGAAACATCGCCATCCGTCTAGCTCGTAAAAGAAAGCAGAACCTACCGAAAGCCCTTTTTGCGTTAACGAAATGGAGTAGAAGATTGCGGCTTTTGCTTGTGAACCTTCTACCAGCTGCTCTGTTTCTTGACGAATGGACTGCATACTGGATGCCTGCTCTAGCATCAATGCCACATGCACGAATACCAAAGGTTCGTCCGGGATACTACACACAAACGGGCCGACTTGATTGGAATAGGGTGCGCCTTCATCGCAGTTGATCGCACGCTTCTTACCTGGGATGGAAAAAGGCATAACAACGACGTCCATTGCCTGCAAGAGAAATCAAGTGCATTTAAAGGCTTAGCCAAGACTCGCACCATCATATACTTGCCACACCAACAGCTTCCACACCCGTACCTAGACGTCTCTTCAGCTCGGCAATCGTGCCTACAGGGTGAACCGCCTCGTACCGAATGATCTTCTCCAGTAGCTGCCCAGAGGATTGCTCGTAAGTCACACGCTCTAGCTTTAGGAAGCCAACGTTGAACCATGAAGCTAGGAATTGCTAGTCAAGAATGAAAGACATACTAAGCAATCGATTTGTCGCGACCCCCCGCTCACATCGTCAAAATGCTCACTTTCAAGCTTGCGTCAAGCGAGCGCAGAGCAAGAATTTCGGGACGAGTAGCGATTTTGCGAAGCACTTGCAACAGATCCGCACGCATTCGCACTAAGAATAGCATCCCATTGTCTCTTTGTGATACAACTTGCTGAAAGAATGTCTACCACAACGTCCGCCCCAAGACACCGTCAGCTCTGCATTAGTCGTCGCAGCTTATTTCAATGCATTCTTCATACCTCATAAAGCGGGGACAGCGCAATGCGGAGGTTGCGACATGTCCGCAAGTACCTCTCCACATTCTCGTGCTCCCAGTCCACAGCCCCTGTGCTTGCATCCTTGACATAACTCATAGTTTGCTCCAGCTGCACTGCATTCTGTAGCGCCTACCCACACGAAATCCAAAAGAAGTCAAATGACCTAGTATAACCTCACCGTAGGTAGCTGGTCCAGAGAAGCAAGAGGTGGCCAACTCGCTGTCAGCATCACTCTATACTTGACAGCACACTTACTGCAGTCGCGTCAATGTGCAGCTCCTGCGCCAGAATGAGCAGAAACTGCCTCTTGTCTTCAATGTGTTTTTCTTGGTACGTCTTGCACAGACTGTCAATCACGACCCGCGGGACAAAGTCTGTAGTCACGTAAAACAGTACAAAGGAGTAAGATCAGAACCACCTCTCGCTTGTGACATGAGACGAGGCAACCTACCGCCAGTATTGGCCTTTGTCTTGACCACTTCTTGCATCAATTTGGCCAGGTGACGCTGCGCTGAGGTGTCACTAAAGTCGAGACTGCGGAGGAACGACATGTCTCGAGTCGAACCTGGAGAGAGATCATCTGGTCGCTGCTTTGTCTGGGGTTCATCGTCTCCAATGCTGCTGCTACTGCTTTGGGTGCTTCTGATCGTAACCCTTGAGGATGGCGTGACGTTCGTTGATCGGTGGGCAAGAGACGCGACGCTTTGGGACCGACGAAGAGGTCGGCAGAAGAAGAGTCGCATGGAAGCTAACGATGGCCGATTGCATGTGCTGGGATCTGTCTGTCCGACTGGTAGTGCCTTGTTTCCGGTATTCTACGTCACTTTAGCAAAAGGGTTGAGCAGGTTTGTGTGAAGTCGGAGGAAGAGGGTGGATGACGTCGATTGCAAACACATTATTTTGGGTCGTCTTATCCTGATGTATCAAATTGGTGCTTATTTTCAGTCGTCTTATCCTGATATATCATGTTGGTGCCCAGCACTGTAATGACAGAAGGCAGACATGTGTGCGATCGCTCCTCAGTAAGATTACTTACAGATCGTTGCAACCTTTGCTAGCCAGAATGCTAAATTAATGCTGTGGAGGTTTGATGCAGCGATCCTATCTCCTCTTGCTTCTCACCATAACAACGCATGGAGAAAGAGAGTACATATTGTATACCATCACCATTTCCCCAGCAATAAAGGAAATTACTTAGCCGAGCGAGATCTAGCTTTACAATTTCAGATGGTATCGCCAAAGATGGGATACACCTCAACCTGCGATTCACGAGTCTTGTAAACAAAACGTTTATAGAGACCAGGCAATCTACATCCCAGCTTACGATCATCGTCACTGGAGACGTCGAATTTAACGTCAAAGAGTTGCGCTGGGTAATGTCCCGAACGATCAAAAGCTCAAAACTTTTGTAATAGCGCCCGCATGCTCGTGGAATCCGATGATTTATCGGAAATCGTATCAGAGAGCTGTAGTCTTCGACCAAGCGTCGCGATGTGTTTCATCAGCTGGTCATCGACTCGAGATTTTCTGATCTGCCAGAAAATGCAGGGGCCAAAGTTGAGATCCAATAGAGGTGCCACCTCGAGTTCGCTGCGACGGCCTTGTGTATTTGCAGCATCCTTCTGGCGTGTTGGGAGCACGATTAGAATAAAATGGTGGCTAGCATAGCTAAACAATGCAACACTGATAAGTTGTCGGCCACAAATGGTTTCGGTTGCGGTGAGTGAAGACCCGAAAGAAAATGAGGGATCACCACGCTTAGTAGCAAATGATAGTTCTTATTGTAAAGAACTTTGGAGCACACTACAACCGACAACTTTACGCTAAATGAACAATATTAGAAAGAAGAACACGATGTACATTAGACAGCGCATTACCAGAAACGTGGACGAGCAGCTTCTTTTGCCGCTGCGATCCCGGTACAAAGTCGGCCGAGTGGTCCACCTTTCCTAACTTGCTTGACTCGGGTTCGTCTCCAAGCTGAATTGATGTATCTACGAATGCAGTCCACAGTGAAAAGAACATCAAGTGATGGCATATATTTGCAAGCAATTTGGATGTAAGACACGTGCTGGCGCAGGCGAAATGTAATCCAATATCGCCAGTCAAGACAATGTAGCCATTACAGTCGATTGAGGCGCGAAGACTAAGCAAGCCAGTCTTTGATGTGCATTCCTATGATAGCCGCTTCAGTTGAAAGGGGAAGGTCCCTCGTGGCCGCATCAAAATCCGCCGCAAGTATTTGATATTTTCGTCACTTGCAACACGCGCGCACCCAATGTTTTGTCCAGAAATGAAAACGAGATCGAGTGTTGAGGGATAAAGAAAAATAACAATGTTGCCTTGTGCATAGTTTTCATTGTTCATGATAGCGTTTTTGACTTCAACTGGTGCTGACAATTCTTCGGACTCGGCTACAGCTTAAATCATGCGGAAGTTGCGACCGAACCTGAATTAATCAAAGGTCGTGTAATGTATCGCAGCCTGTTTTTCTAGACAGAAAAAGTGTGAAAGTCTGCTTAAATTGTACCTTAACTGCAAAATGCAGTAGCTCATATTCGCCCAACCGAGTCGTTGACAACGAGTCGTCGATAGCAGGTGCCAGATATGCAGCTAAGTCAGCTATCGTTCGAATGCAAATATGAAAATCCGTACAATGAAGTGAGTACTTTCATCGAATGTAGTCGGGCTCTGATGTCTTAATCTCTCACACATGTGCCGTGACGTCCTCCTGGAAGTTGTGTCGAGCACAGTCGTAGTGTAAGAATACTTTTCCAGAGTGTACCGATCGTCCACAAAGAAGAATGCTGTGTGGTGGCAGGAAACGACAAACCAATGCATGGGGTGTCATCCGCAGTTCATCATGGATCCACATCCGAAGTGGTGTTGCCACTGCTTTACTGAAATTGGCTACATCACAAGCGATCGGCATCAACTTCCTCCTGAAGTCAATTTCATGGAACACCAGAGCGAGCAGCATCCGTTTGGTCGTTGTTTTACAGAAAATATTGAGGGCGTAGAGAATCTAAAGCTGAGCCACGCGAAAGCGAAACTCTACGTAATTCATTTTACAACGCCTGGTCCTCGAGATTGTAAAGCACCAAGACGTCGAGGGTATCGAAAATTAGTCTGCTGGTTGATATCATTATTCGCTGGATATCGAAAGAGCTAGGAAGGCACGACAGCTTTTGGCTTCTCTTAATTTTGACCTCCTACCATTTCGATCGATTCTTGCAAGCATATGAGGTGCGTTCCCTTGCATTCGAATTGAAGTATTATTATAGTAAAGGTGCAACTGACAAGTCATTTTACCATCGTATGGCGAGACGATGATACTGCACGCCCGTATCCAATGGATGTTTTGGTCGGAGTGCACCATAGACTGCAAGATTGACGAACAGAGCAGTGCTTAGAAGCATATCTTTGCTGCTTTTGCTTTGATTTGATCACCACTTACTCCCAACAGACAAAGTCGATGCTCGCTAAGGATAATGCCGTGCTTACTTGCTGCCTTTGGTCGTTGTCTATTCCGCTCCAACACATTGTAGTCCACTAGGGCAGTTTCCACTTGCACTTCAGTCGTAAACGATAGTGCTAGCCAACGGAGCATTTCTACAAACTACAGTGACATCGCATTTTGTCAAGCTACGCTACAACTGATCAAATTGTAGCGTCTACAACCAGTGTTAGGATGTTATACATTGGTTGAGATGTTTAGCACGACTGCGATACCACGAGTTATGGATGTGCACTTGAATCGGCGAGGTACGGCATAGCTGATCGAACCGATGCGATCCCGTCAGCGGAATACTGCCACGTCCGATCTGTACTATGGAAGTTGCGGTCCGCGTAAGCAGTATTACTGTACGACTGGCATGTCCGCATGACTTTACTAATTATGAAGCCAATGAGTCGTTCTTTGCCCGAGTTAGCAAGTAGTTGCAGCATACATAGCAAGCAGCTAGAAGTAGTACTGACACATCTCACGCGGTCATCACGCTGATGCTTGGCAAAGATTTTTCAGGTGGGTATCGGTGCTAAACTCCACTAACGTACGTCCACGTTTAGTATACGCGCGTCTTGACAGGAAAGCGCACGTCGACGATCCCCGTGATGCCTGCAGTAAGCACCTACATACAGCAACGACATAAAGATGATAAATTACGAACAGGTTCCGACAAAGCAGAATAAACACTCATGCATGGAACACTTACGCTGCCAGGCGGGACGGGCCCAACGCCTTCAGGTGTGCCGGTAATGAGCAGATCGCCTTCTTCTAGCGTCATAATTCGGCTGACGTAAGCGATAAGGAACGGAATGTCATGCAGCATGTCAGCTGTGTTGCCATTCTGGCGAAGTTCATCATCCACTTTGAGCCACATGTTCAGATTATGGGGCGACGGCACCGCTGACTTTGAAATGAAGTCGCTAATCGGTGTAAACGTGTCAAAACCCTTGGCGTGCGTCCACGGTAGTCCTGCTTCCTTTGCCTTGGCTTGCAAGTCACGCGCTGTCATATCAATGGCCAGTGCCTACCATAACAAAAGTAAGAGCAGAGTCTAGCACGACGACGGAAGCAGTTGATATTTACGTAGCCAGCAACGTGGTCCATGCTGTCACTCTCGGCAATGTCCTTGCCTCCTTTTCCAATCACCACCTGCACAAAAATTACCACATCAATGACCAGCTTAATACATTGCAGCAACTAAACTGGTTACGAAGTATGTCCGCGAAAACCTACACCGAGTTCCACTTCGTGATGCACGTCACCGATCCCAGGGGGGAGCAGCACGTTGTTGCCATTGCGCACATAGCTGCCGAAAGCATCACATTTCACATGAATCTATAAAGTTAGTATCATTTAACGAGTATTCCTGCAAAAGAGTTGGTATTGTACCTGGTCGTGGGTTTCAGGAAAAGCACGGGGTGACTCAACGTCGTGGTAGCTCCCATTTCGCGCGCATGGGCTTCATAGTTCTTCCCAATAGCGACGATCTTCTTACTATATGAACGTATTCAAGATGTCACATACGAGTATTAGAGGTGGGGAAAGCAAAATGCTTTGGCTCATCGAGAGAAGAACGCGTCAAGACGATTGATCAGTAATTAATCAGTCACGACGTACCCGAAGTCGACGAACTGTTTGGCTTTCATTATGCTGGAGAGTGACTGACAACCACAAATGGCTTGTTTTTTCTGACACTATTTCAGTACAAGCTGACGGACAAGTGGCGGGGATTAGCAAGCGAGTGGTAATAATGATCCATTTTGCGTGTTTTAAGACATGGCTACGTGATAAATGTGTGTGAGATAGGCTTTTACTAAGGGTGATTTGCACAGTTAACGTTGTGTATGTAACTTTAAGGTGTCGCTGTGTCTTTTTAGTTTGGTCGAGTTTGACGCTAGTGTTACGATGGTCGTATACAAAGGAGTTGGGCCAAGGGCGCTCAATGTATTCGGGAAGTTCTGCTGTTTGTGACTTCTCTAATGTTCTAGTGATCTAGATATCTGACAATGCATGTGCTGCTTTACGCAATTCGTGGTTCAGTGAATAGGAGCACGAATGGTTTACGATCTGATTTCTCGAAAAGAGTAGACGGGTGCTATCATCGGCTTACACCTATGAGAGTCTTTGCAATGATTCGCTTACATTCCGAGCGGGTAAACATCAAAGTTGTGCAGTTGGACAAAGCGAACATAGCCGACTCGCTCAACAAGGGACTCAGAACGGCAACACAGCTCGTCATCAATTTTTTAGGGGCCATTATGACATACAAGTCGAAGTCATTTCTTGTGGATTGTGCAGCAGTATCCGACCCGAGTGTTACGTAAAGTCCCAATGATGGTGTAGCTGCGTTCATAAAGTCTACGCCGAAGTTGCAAAGGACTAAACAGTCTACATGCTCTGTACATTGGGTGTCGTTGCAGAATGTTGATAGAAACCATCGCCGAATCTGATGTTACTTTGCCATCCTTCTTCCGGTCAAAGCATTCAGGTTAAAATCATCTTGGAGAATTAATTTTGGGGGGCGGTTTACACTACGCTTTTCATCACTGCACGACCCATAGGGGCTTCAAGCTCTGTATTTCAATCCTTATACCTCACTGCTAACCACACGATATTCTCAGCGAGCTTTAACTTTGCACAAGACCCGTATAAGCAGCATAAATACCACATGAAGTAGGCGCTCCTGATACCTTTCCAAAATATGCAGGAGTTCCAATCCAAGGAGTAAACACTAACGATGTACAAACAAATAACCAACTGAAAGCTGATGCTACCATATCATCTACCGGCGTCGACAGCTGAAAATCTGACTTGTTTACTGTACACGCATATGTCGTTGCTCTATTGACTTGACCTTACTGATCTAGACACCTGCTAGCCTAAGATCGGTGGCAGTGCAAAAACTCCATCGAGCCGCTTACTCCCATTCGATGGTGGCCGGTGGCTTGGACGATATGTCATAGACAACGCGGTTGACGCCACGCACCTCATTGATGATACGGTTCGACATGCGACCGAGGACTTCGTACGGCATGTGGTACCAGTCAGCTGTCATGTAGTCCGAAGTGCTGACAGCACGAATAGCAACGACCTTTTCGTACGTGCGACCGTCGCCCATGACACCCACGGACTTCACTGGCAGCAGGACACAGAAAGCTTGACCCGTTGTCTTGTAGTGGCCACTATTGCGCAGCTCTTCAATAAAGATCGAGTCGGCATGACGCAGAGTGTTCAGCGCCTCGGGCGTGATCTCTCCGAGCACACGGATAGCAAGACCCGGGCCTGGAAACGGGTGACGCCACACACTTGGCTCATCAATGCCAAGAGCCATACCAAGCTCCCGGACCTCATCCTTGAACAGCTCGCGCAGCGGCTCAATAAGTTTGAGGTGCATCTTTTCCGGAAGACCACCGACATTGTGGTGTGTTTTGATCGTGGCTGAAGGGCCTTTGTACGAGACACTCTCAATCACGTCCGGGTACAGCGTGCCTTGCAGCAAGAAGTCGACAGAGTGTCCAATACTCTTGGCTTCTTCCTGAAACAGCTCAATGAACAGATTGCCAATCGTCTTTCGCTTCGCCTCCGGCTCCGTGACGCCCTTCAGAGCAGTAAGGAATCGGTCGGACGCGTCAATACACTTCAGGTTGATGCCCAATTTGCTCCGCAGTCGCTCGACAACCTCAACAGCCTCGTCTTGACGCAACAGTCCATTGTCAATAAGCACAGCGTGGAAACGATTTCCAAGGGCGCGCTGCAGCAACACTGCAGCAACAGACGAGTCGACGCCGCCACTCACAGCACCAATCACATGGCCATCGGGACCTACAGTCTCGCGCACCTCCTCAATGAAGGCGTCGGCGATGCTGCGCATGTCCCAATCCGTAGGCGACTTGCAAATGTGCACCACAAAGTTGCGCAAGATATCCTTGCCAAGAGGACTATGAGTCACCTCTGGATGGAACTGGATGCCGTACAGCTTGCGTGCCACGTTGACAATCACGGCGTGTTCCGAGTTCTCCGTCGTGGCAATGTCCACGAATCCATCAGGCTTTGCATGCAGCTTGTCGCCATGGCTCATCCACATCTGGAACTCGTCCGGCAAGCCGTTAAGCAGACCGCCACAGTCCACGCCGCTCTTTCGGGTCACAATGGCCTTGCCATATTCGCGGTGCTGGGAAGGAGCGACCTTCCCATTGTTCGTGAAGGCAAGTTCCTGCAGTCCGTAGCAGATCCCAAGCACCGGAAGATCGAGTTCTTCAATCAGTTTCCACACTTCTGGGTCAACATGAGGCGCCCCTTCATCGAAGACCGACTGGGGACCACCCGACAGAATGATGCCCGTGAGCTGGTGCTGACGCAGCTCCTTGGCACTGACTAGACAGGAGTAGAGCTCGCAAAACACGTGCAGCTCACGCACGCGGCGTGCGATGAGATGGCTGTATTGCGAGCCAAAGTCCAGGATCGCCACCTGTTTGCGGTTCGTGACGGGGGACAACGTGTCGGTCATACTGAACGGAGACGCTGGGTCAATTCAGTTCAATTCAACTCTGAGCGGAGCTGCTCGTGAGCTCCTGAGTTGCCAGCCAACCACTGGGTGTCCCCATGGGTACACCCATTCACCAATCACAACGCTCGCTTTGAAAGGGTGCAAAGTCGGACAAGTTGTCAAACAGATGCGGCAGCTGTGGCGGTTTTTCGGCAAATTAAGTGCGTGTCTGTATCCCTGATAGTATCGGAAGTACAGGGCTGCTGCATCTTGACGCGAGATGTACCGGAGAATCATTAGTTTACATGTACAACGATTCGTAGCGGATGACTGACACTTGTGTATTCGGTCGAGAGTCAATTCCTTGCTTGTGCGTGTAGAGCGTGTGTGGACGTCTTGTATCGATCTTCGAACTTTATTCTGACTTTGGCAACAGCCAAGCCCGACTTCTAAGCTCCAACGCTCTATTGATCCGTTACGCTCGTGCTCAGTGGATACTCAGGATGCGAGGCTATCTGCTATTCATGATATCCAGGACGCTATAACATTGTTGCTAGCAAAAACGACTGTAACCCAGTTATTTTGACAAATTTGCGCGAGTTTTGTACGGTAACGTACGGTGTTCACGCTCGTGGCAAAACAATCAGCTCATCTACCTACAATCGCCCGATGCTATCACTGTAAATTGTTATTCAATTGCACGGAGCGCCTCAACTGCTGTAACCACAAACGTAACATGTAAAATAGATTCATCTTGTGCCAGCGGTCCAAGTCTTCCTCCGAGCAGTAACTGTATATTTTCTGCGTGGGCCGCACGCGCTGCAACATATTTGCAGTCAAGCTGGAACTTACACCGCTTGGTTTACATTGGTAATTCGTCTCGAAAGTCGTCGTTAGTAATGACCACTTGCATGTTGATACTCCACTCTAGCCGTTTAAAAGGGACTCGCATAAGGCATGTGATATCACGAATGATGTTACTGCAACGCAAGCATTGTCCAATGTACTTACTACTCTATAATCCACTTCACGACGACACACAATCGAATCAATTTATGTGTTATCAAGATGATCCTGTTTTATGGCCTACTAAAGATGGCATATTGCACGCTGACTTCAGCTTTTAAAGCAAAATAGCGCGGTCCGATTTGGATAGCCGACGGAAACGTGCATCGAAGTATTCTGATAGCGGTAACGCGAGTGGATATTCCAATCGTGGTAAGTTCACGACGTTCGGGCAGCGTGAGCGTGTCTTTACTTGAGAAGGGTAGCCGAATAACTTGTTTTTTTTGTCCGCACGGACTATCCTAAACAGGCACTTTGCAGCTTCTAAAATAGCACACAAAACGCATTGTTGTTCCAAATTGACAGAATGCATTTTGAGAGCGTTTAGATGCTAACACCACCTATTGCACCTGTCGCATGACAATTCCGGTCGTGGCAACGACTCGTGAGAGGACGCTAGTAGTCATTCCTTGTTGTTTGCAACGAATAGCCATTATGAAAAGAATAAAGTCTTCGACATTTTTTCACATCACACATGTACTGACCCTTACTGATCGTTTTGAATGTAAACTTCAACAACATTTTGACTGGTCGATATCCAGCAGTCTTTCAGCCAATCATCGAGGACTTCCTGCCGCTTTGTTCTTACGAAGAGCTCACCGCACATCGCCGGACGTGCGGAGTGAGAGGATGGAGAATACGTTCATTCCACAGGCGATTGAGATTGTAAAGCAGGCGATCGATGAGGACAACAGCAAGAACTACCAAGAAGCGTTTCGGCTGTACAAGAAAGCGCTGGAGCACTTTATGGTCGGCGTCAAGTGTACGTTTTCTGTGAGCTCTTGAGTGCTAATTACTAGAGTCGAAAACAGCGACTCTAACTGTTAGTTCGAGCACTTTAATACCTAGGTCGGGACTGTTTTACGGTGATGCATGTTCTCTAACGGCTCATTTTTTCAAATAGATGAGAAGAACCCGACGTCGAAGGACGTGATTATGAAGCGTGTGGAAGGCTACATGACACGTGCAGAGCAGTTACGAGGGATGCTGGAGAAAGAGAATGCACCCAAGGCAGTGGCAGCTGCAGTGGATGTGGACAAGTGAGTTGATTGCAAATGGAAGAGAATATGAGGTCTCTGTCTTTGTTGATATTGATGTTGATGTTGTTTGTTGATTGTGTGCAGAGGAGAAAAAGACGACGACGATGAGACGAACGTCGAGAAGGCAAAATTACGTGGTGTACTGACCTGTGAGTCTTGATCTGAATAGCAGGAGACGGGGTGTTGTTTTGGTGTTATTGGGTTGTTTTGCTGATGGGTGGTTGTGGCCAACTTGGTGACGCAGCGGCTGTTGTCACGGAAAAGCCTAATGTAAAATGGGATGATGTCGCGGGACTTGATGCTGCAAAGGAAGCGTTGAAAGAGGCAGTGATTTTACCGGCTCGATTCCCGCAGCTTTTTACGGGAAAGCGTCGTCCTTGGAAAGGCATTCTGCTGTACGGAGTACGTCGGAGTGTACTCGAACGATGTGGTTATTGTTCGGTGCAGCGGACTCACCTGCTTGATACGGTTTGCAGCCCCCAGGTACGGGTAAGTCTTACCTTGCTCAAGCCGTCGCAACAGAAGCAGACGCCACGTTTTTTGCCGTCTCATCATCTAGCTTGGTATCTAAGTGGCAAGGCGAGAGCGAGAAGTGCGTTTTGTTTGGTTGTACGGGCACAGCTATAATACTGCGCTCCTAGTGATGACTTACTTGTTTTGTTGTTTGGAAGGTTGGTCAAGAACCTTTTTGAGATGGCGCGCGAAAGGAAACCTGCTATTATTTTCATCGACGAAATCGACTCGCTGTGTTCGAGTAGGTCTGAGGGTGAAAGCGACTCCACGCGCCGTATAAAGAACGAATTTCTTGTTCAGATGCAAGGTGTGGGCAACAACCATGACGGCGTTCTGGTGCTCGGAGCTACGAACGTACCATGGGAACTTGATCCAGCGATGCGACGACGGTAATTTACATCACGTATACGAGGAGGTTTGCAATTGCTGAATATGCGCTGTGGTCTGTAGTTTCGAGAAGCGTATATACATTCCGCTTCCTGAGGTCCCTGCACGGAAAGTGATGCTGGCAATCCATTTAGGTGATACGCCGAATGAACTGAGCGATGCAAACTTTACAGCAATTGCAGAGAAAACGGAAGGGTACGATCGCATTTATGAAAGCTCGACAAAGGGCATGATTTTAGCTGACTTTAATCGAGTGTATTCTCAGCTGCTCAGGCTCCGATATCTCTGTGCTCGTACGGGACGCATTGATGGTACCACTTCGCAAGTGTCAACAAGCGCAGTTTTTTACTCCGGTAAGAATGATGTTTGCTGGTGACCGATGCTTGCTTCAGGACATTCTGGTTTGACACGATGATTGCGTTTCTGCCGAGCAGTGCGATGACAAGGCGCACCCGATTCGAAATGGTCCATTTCTGACACCCTGTGAAGACGACCCACCATGTGCGTATTGCCACATGAAGCTCTCTTCATGTCGCCCAACATGCTCAGACTGCCAGGCCCCGTGTCGACGTTGTGGAGCGTTGCGCATGCAACTGTACGATTTGCCAGGGCGAGGCTTCTCCGATGAAAAGCTGCGGCCGCCTATGGTTTCAATGGTAATGACCGGCTCTGCCTATGACTTTCCTGCACCTCTATGTTTCTCGCTACGCTCCATCTGACCCATATGCACTGATTTCATGACTGCAGGATGACTTCATAAGGGTGTTGGAGCACTCGACTGCAACTGTCGCTTCCGCTGAGCTCAGTCACTTCGTCAAGTGGACACAAGAGTTTGGACAAGACGGCTAGATGCATGCACGACGGATATGCCCGTCCTATGCATTGTTCGAGTCATGTCGATAAGTAGTTTTTCTTTCTTCTGCTTACTAGAATCACGACAACGACTTGATCACGTTTTTTAACTCATCAGCAGAGAAGTGGTGTACGTCATTGCAGAAATGACAGGTGAGATCGACGCCCTTCTCGCCCATTTCTGCAGCAACATGATCCAGATCAGTGGCAGACATGGCTCCAAGTCGTTGAGCGTAGTTCTCCTTCGAGCAGCGGCAGAAATAATCCAACGGTACCAGCTTACACTGTTTCTCCGTGATCTCAGCCCCTGGCACCAATTCGTTCAGATACTCCAGCAGATCAGTGTTCCTCTTCAGCTCAGTAGCTAAAAATGGGAGGTTGTCAAAAGCCAGCTCATCCAGCTCGTAGTGGCGCTCATGAGCTTCAGCTTTGGGCATTTGCTGGACAATCAGACCACAAGTGCGTGCATGGTCACGGTCTGCTTCACTATCGATACGGACGATAGTCGGAACTTGCTCCGACACATCAAAGAACCTCTGCCAATCCAGCTCAGGAATTCCCGATGCCTCGACGGAGGTGTTGTATGGCGTGGCGGCACCGTACAGAACCTTCGAGACATGCATGACGCCTCCCGTTTCCAGCGTACCAGCATCAAGCACGTCTTCATAGACAGCTTTGCCTCGAACTTCTCCAGCTGCCATGGCCTCGACGTACAGTTCCTGGACACTGGACGTCTTTACCACCACCTTGACACGCTCCTCGCCCTTGAAAAACGAGCTCAACATGGTCGTACCGGCCATGTACTCGCCCCAGAGCTTTGCGCCTTCCGAGACCAGCGGGAGGTGCCACCGCCGCGCCATTTCGTCCACTACATTGCGTGCCATCACACCAGACAGGCGCAAGTTGCCCACGTGGCAACGCACCACGACGTCCCGCAGCGGCCGCTTCCACATGCTGCCAAGGAGTGTCAACGCGCCCGTCCACGCGCCAATGCCACGGGCGACTGATTGGTTGTTCCCACATGGCTACATAATGGTACCTTTTATGGACGTCACTGGACCGAGCCGATAATGATTGGTCGAGGGGATTTGAGTCTCCTCGCGAATCAATTCGGTGGTTCGATTCGTGTGGACCACACACACACACGTCGCACCACTCTATTGGCCGCGCCGGCGTGAAGGGGAAAAGAAGAAGAAGAACAACAACGAGTCGCTGAGTCGCAGTCGCCGCCGGTTGTAGCCATGTCGTTCCCCGCGGGCAAAGCAGCGCCCGAGCGCAAAACGTTCTTCAAGAAAGGCATTGACGCGGATGAGTCCCGTCGGAGCCGCATGGAGACGACGGTGCAGATCCGCAAGACCATTAAAGAAGACCGGATCAACCAGCGCCGTCGAATGGTACGCCACTTCCTCTGGCCTCGTCCTGAAGTAGCACGAATCGAGGCGCACAAAAAAGACGCGACTTGCGCTCGAGAAAAAAAACAGCTGTTTGGTTGTGTTTTGACCGTTCTATTTATAGTGTCGAAGAAAAAACCTATTTTTGGGGGCGTGATTCGTGACTTGACAATGCACTGGATAGTGGGAGGCTCGAGGTTTTATTGACTCTTTTTTATGGTGAGTACTGATTGTTGGTACTTGTGTATGGATGTAGGCGCCTGAGGACAGTCGAGCCGCAGCAACTCCTGCTGCGGACGACGCTGCTGGAGAACTGACGCTTGTGCAGCGGGTACGTATCTTTGAAGTTTGGTTGTACCCCATGGTCTATACTGATGTTGTTATCGGTGTTGGTGTTGATTGGTACTGCTGTTTAGCTGTCGGAGCTTCCACAGATGGTCACAGGTGTGCAGTCGAGTGACGCCGCTGTGCAACTTGAAGCGGTGACCAAGTTCCGGAAGCTCTTGTCGATTGGTGCGTGCCGGTTGATGCTCAAAAGGAGCAGCTAGCTGCTGGTTACATGACATGGTGGACACTGACTTTTTGTTGGTATTCTATTGTGCATTACAGAACGCAACCCGCCGATCAAGGAAGTGATTGATACCGGCGTTGTGCCGAAGTTTGTGCAATTTCTCCAGCGTGAGGACTTTCCCACGCTGCAGTTTGAAGCGGCCTGGGCCCTGACGAATATTGCATCGGGGACCTCGGTGGATACCGAGGTTGTGATCAACCATGGCGCCGTTCCTATTTTCTGCCAGCTACTGCTATCAACAAACGATGACGTGCGCGAGCAGGCTGTCTGGGCTTTGGGAAACATTGCTGGCGACTCCATTGAGTACCGTGACATGGTGCTGCGCTGCGGTGCCCTGCGTCCGCTTATGCAGCAATTGACAGAGAACTCCAAGCCAACTATGCTTCGTAACGCTACGTGGACGCTGTCGAACTTTTGTCGGGGCAAGCCTCAGCCACAGTTTGAACTCGTGGCGCCCGCGCTCCCAACTCTGGGCCAGCTCATCTACACTCACGACGAGGAAGTGTTGACGGACGCGTGCTGGGCCCTGTCGTACCTGTCAGATGGCTCGAACAAAAAGATTCAGGCTGTAATTGAGGCCGGTGTGTGCCGGCGGATTGTCGAATTGTTGATGCACCACTCCTTTTCCGTGCAGACGCCTGCTCTGCGTACGGTCGGTAACATCGTGACTGGCGACGACTTGCAAACACAGGTCATTATTAATTTGAATGCGTTGCCGTGCCTACGTGCGCTTCTGGAAAGCCCTAAGAAGGGAATCCGAAAGGAGGCTTGCTGGACGCTGTCCAACATCACGGCCGGCAACCAAGAACAGATCCAGTTTATCGTGATGGCTGACATTTTCCCAACCCTCATCAGCTTCCTGTCCACGGCCGAGTTTGATATCCGCAAAGAAGCTGCGTGGGCGGTGTCGAATGCCACGTCGGGTGGATCAGTGGAGCAGATCATGCATCTTGTTAGTCTTGGTACGTGCGACAGCTAGTTTCTCTCTCCTCTTTCATCTTGCAGCTAACACCGGTTTGTTGTGATGCTCAGGGTGCATCAAGCCCTTGTGCGATCTACTGGAGGTGAAGGATGCGAAGGTTGTCATCGTGGCTCTCGAGGGTCTTGAGAACATATTGCGTGCGGGCGAGCAGCAGAAGACAAACGACATTAACGACGTTGCAACGATGATCGATGAAGCCGATGGTGTGTCGAAGATCCAGGCTCTGCAGTACCATGCCAACGAAGGTGAGATGTGCATGTTTGCTGGATGCAGCCGTGCTTGGCGATAAGTGCTTATAACTGAACGGTATATGATTGCAGACATTTATGTCAAGTCGATGAAAATCGTGGAAGCATACTTCAACGGCGAGGAGGACGCGGAAGACAGCCTAGCGCCCAATGCGGATGCAAACGCACAGCAGTTCCAGTTCGGTACATCCTCGGACCAGCCGACTATGTTCCAGTTTGGCCAGAACTAACTCAGAGAATGAGAAACATTGAGGGATACCCTCACGAAAAGCTGATGCAAGTGAACCGCCGGATCATGGCAAGAAGAAGTCTGTGGAGGCCCCTAGGAGGTAGCAAGCACTCACGCGAATGAATTTCTTTGTTAGTTTTACCTCTGTCTTGTCTGCTGCGAGGACTGTTTCGTCGCGGGAAGCTGGTGTCCGTGCTGCAGTGCAATCACGAGCCATATCGTCCTTTTGCTTGATATCAACAAGACAAGGACAAGTAACGATAGGCTCGATGACTTCTCGTTGCGATTGATTTTTTGTTGCTGGGGTAGGACCGACTTTCAAGTCCATTGTAGTTGAGGTTCAGACCACTTCAAGTTTATTCACGTGAAGCTGCTTTTGTCTGGTATAGCAACAAAACTTCCAGTAACTGGAGACAAAACGGTAAAATACACAAAAATGGACCACAGCTAATGAAAATGACCAAGCTGATTGGGATCGAGTGCGTCGTTATCGGTCCAATTTATACTACGTGGTCGATACACCTGCAAGTCACATTATTGTAATCTTTTCCCAGCTGCAGGCAGAAAGATGGAGCGGAAGTAGCAGCAAGGAACCTGATAACTCCCTCATTGAATGCATTGGTTTCTTGGGGTTTTGACAAGACATGTTACTGTCGACAATACCCCTAACGCAACTGTGGCATATTACTGCCTACAATCTCTCGGCGCAAGTGCAGTAGATATTTGAGCTGCCTCAATGGCGTGCCACGTGAGCATCAGTCTTTTGACCTGGCAATTGTGGATCAATTGAGGTGGCGATACCGCTTACAAATTGTGGTGACACCGAGATGGGGACGAACAAAAACCGCAACGATCAAGCTCTCCTGGAGAAAAAAAGACGAGTTCTCGCTCGCTTTGCCTCTATTTATATGCATTCTTTACTTGTAACTTCGTTATAATCCATGGTACTTCCTATGGTAGCATACTTGACAGGTGGAAACGGCTCTAGAATTCACCAAGTCACTCGTTACTGTACTCGTCCCATGCCGATGTCATGAATCTGTAGCAACGATCTTGTCAATTGGGATTCTGGAGATGATGTGTCAGCAGAGAAATACTTTTAGACGATGGTGCCTTTTGACCGAATACACGAATGGTGCGAGGCAATGGTGCTCGTAATTGGTACGGAACGATGCGCTGGGGTAAACGCATAACCCACACGGAGACTAACACCGTGATTGACTCACGATCGCGGATGTCACGCAGGCATCACCTATCAGTACATTTTCGTGATTGATGTCCACATAAGCAATGAGTTAGCTGCAAAGTTGCATTATGCCAGAGTTTACCTGGCAAACACACCTGAACTGTGCTCAGCTACGTAGCACAGATGCATGGCTACGGAAGAAAGGTACCAGAGTGCATATGTCTGTCTCGCATGATCTGTGATCTACGCACTCAGCTGTCCATTACTACGTGGAGTTCTTCATCACTTCCACTATCCATCAATAAGCCCGTGGAGCTAGAACGTGCGAGCTGAAGGCTATTTGTCGAAAGCCCGCTATTTTGTAAGGAGTCTTACACAAAGTTGTCGTACACTCCTCGCTTACAAGTTGCTGTTTACTGTTTCATACTCGTTGTATTCGATCTCACGTTCGGTGGCATCGAATGAGTCGCTGTCCTTTTAGGTAGTTGTCATACATCGCACTGTACCACGTATACGTCACTGCTGCAATAGCTTGAGTATTTACCACCCAAGTCCTAGCTCAGATTCGTTTCAATGTGCACACTGATCTCAAATTGTCGACGTCAGCAGTGTGGACTTGTGCACTCAATAGCATGTGGGAGCACTTTAAATGACTCAGAATAGAGCAGCATGTTCGAGATAATATCGAGCGTTATAGTGCTGATCGAGATATTGCGAGAGAGATCGCGGCGCTTTTGGCTCTAGGAAACGCACACTAATGATATTTACAAAGCACATAGCTGCTTGTGAGATGTGATCCCTCTATCATCAAGACAACAACAACAACACTCGAGCGCTAAGCCTGGCGAGTTGCGTGCACGCAGTATAGCTGCAATCATTCCAGAGCAAGCAATTGCGACAAGCGCTTTATGTCTATAAAAACGTTCGTCGTTATCCGAAACAAGATGGTCACTGACAACAACGGTATCCGATCGTCCACATTGAGGTCGATCTCATCAGTGCCAGCCTTAAACGAATCGCTTGACCGCTGATCTCACGACTGCCCCGACGTGTAAGACTTTCGAAAGTCCATACTTGTCGTATGTCAGGTCATCGTTTATAACGGTATTGCGTATACTACGGGTGACTCGACTTCACAAGTTGTGCGGTATCTGCAACATTTTGCGAGGTCGTGGGTAGCGGCAACACTGAGGTCGTGTGTTGCATGCTCACTTTATCAACAAAAGGAGCACAAGAGGTTCATGTTGCGGACCATTTGAAGATCGATTGTGCTAACAAAGACGTTGACAAGTTAAGGTACAGATGCGGTCACTCGTAGACACGTGGTGCTGCAGCATGAAGGGATTGTCGCATAAGCTTAAGCGGTTGGTTGGATTGTATCCGCAACACGCTATCACGGCCGTTCGAGGCCGGACGCGAGTTAGTGACGAGAACCACGGACCTGTTGCAACCTGTGACTGCGTTTAGTCCGGCGTATGGAAGTGCACTCACGTGCTTATTTACGATGGAAATGGTGGAAATGCTAGGTGGCAGGCGATACAGAATCCACTCTACCCAGAAGCAAATAAATGGCCATGTAGCGTGCAAGACTGTCCACATCGTGGTACAGGAGTATCTCGTTTTGCTTGCTGTCCAGTGATTGCGTCAATACGCAAAGGCCATGCGAAACACTAAATGAATGCACTGGAAAGGGGTTGCAAACCTAGACAGTCGCTTGAGGAGCTGTATCATCAGCGAGATGCCAGCTTGCAGCGACATTGAATCTAATTTTCGACGCAAGAAGTGTAAAATACGAAACGGTGTGCGTAATCTATTTGGGTACGTTCGTCCATATTTCCATTAGGTACGGTCTGCTTTTGCTTTATAATCAGCTGTTTTTGAGTCGTGATTTGCCGTCGATTTGACAGATGGCAGATATGAGCGGTACATAGCACCGTATCCTGCGCCAAGTGAAGTTCCAAGTACGTAATAATATGCGACCGCAACTACGAACCTGCTCGCGTCCCCACCTATTTCTATCGTAACAGAACTTGACGAGCCTAACATTAAACGTGTCACCGCTGCCAGTGCTGCATTTCTATGAGTGGATGTAAGGTGGTGCAGTTCCCGATGAAGAGATGAACGGCGCTAGTCTGCACGTAGGGTCGCCAAATAAAAATTATCCCTACAAGGAGCGACGAAGATCACAAAGGCCAAGGTCATGAAAATGCACGAGTGATTGCAGGTAGCATACAACCACGCCATTAAGATATTAAACGACAGCCCGTCGTCACGAGATGACTGAGGAGCTGAACGACAACTGTGATGAGGTCGCTGCGATTAACGCTGTTGGAATAGTGCCGACTGCTCATGAGCGCGCTGTCTCTTTAGCTCTGCTCGAAAGATTCTGATCATCCACAGTGCAAAACCTTTGCCACAAATTTTACTCCTGGGCGTAAGTAGAGCTCTGCCTTCTCGTGCGCATTGTGGCACAGCCGCGACTGTGGTCGACTGTCACTCAGAAAGTTGTCCGAAACTGATGGCGCCATGTCACCAAGCACCACGTCAGCCATGAGTCCTCTCAGTGCTTTGCTCAGCTGTTCCGCACCGTTGCGTGGAGAAAATTATCCACAAAATAGCTGTACCTGCCACGGGTTCAAACGATTTAGAATTCACAACCACACAGTCGGTAGTGACTCCCGAGTCTCCACCCTCTGTTGCTACTGCTTCTTTTGCTCTTCAGTGTCGTTTAGTCTAGTGGTGTGATTACAAAGGTGGGAAAGTGATGGAGCATATTCCTAACTATGCTCGATCGAATGTGTGACGAAGCCGCGCAGCCAGGTCTGGATGCCTGGACGCCGTAGACTTTTATGAGCCTGGGAACGCTCGCTGCATTGGCGTCCCCTAAACGTCTTCATTGGCCGCCGTCTCCGACAGCTACCACCAGCATTGAGACCCTTCTCAGGCGAGCTATGTAACCTTGTAAAAGCTAATGGATGCCGTTGACACCTTGGCGGAGGCAAATAGCAGAAGTTCCGGACGCACGGGGACCTGACGAGACCCGACAATATAGATAGCCATTATCCGTGTCAACTGAAATACGAACCGAAATGGGTCCATGATTCCAAACGAGAAGACGACACTTTTGACAATGTTGCGGGGTGGAGCATGCGGTGCATTTGTTATGCTCGCATGGTGCGACGTAATGCACCGCTGTCAATTTGCCATCGATTAGAACAAATGCGAATTACGACTCAAAAATAATTGATTATTACGAGCCCGAAGGGTGAAGCAATTAGTGAGTGTGCGCAAGATTGAATGCCGAGCTTTCGAATCGTACTTATCTGTGTGTCTGAAGATAGCGCGGTTAGTGTACCTTACTCAAATTAAATACGATCTAGCCTGTCCCCCTCGAGGTCGATTAGCATGATAGGTGTCACTCTATGGCTTCGGTCAATATTGTGACGCACGCGCTTGATTGGCTTAAATTGGACAACGATGAATGTGATCACAAAAGCAAATGCTGGACGCTCATAAGCAAAGGCCGATCGCGCTGCCCAAGTATACTGTACTGTGTTGATACACACATTGGCAGCATCATACTCATTCTTCAGTGTCTGTCGTTGTATAGTTTTTGCAACTTGATTCAATTCTCCGAGCTGAATTACTTACATCAAGGAGTGGGCTCCAGAGCTTTCTCCCCTATCTTAGATGTTCATATGCATGCGTAGTTGGGCACAAGTATTCTTTTGGTAGGAGATGTTTAGTGAGTGAGAAGGTGAGGTACAAACTGGTACGCTGGCGACCCGCTATATCCAGTATGGAAGTGATCAAAATCACCACTCATACATCTGAGTTATAAGCTTAAGCTAGTGTGGTTCCACGAAAGACGCCTCCGCGCAGCGCAAGGTGCTTATGTGAAAGAATTTGGTCTTCTTCTGTGTAAGTGGGTCCACTTGAATCTGCGTGCTCGGAAGAAGAAGTCTCGATCCAGTGATTGACGTCGTTGTCAACGTGTGCAGCCAGCTCCTGAACGACCCATTGGCCTGACGGGATTCGGACATGGACGAATCTGCACGTGTCCATGGCTATGTGAACCGCACAGTCAGCCATTTTGTTGTAGTTGCGGTAGTGATGAACCCAGCTGACCACAGCTACTTCGTCGGCCAGATCTCTCGCCACTTCGAATAAGTGCGCCAATTGGGGTTTACGCGGTGAGCGATAGGTCCTGAGTCGCGAGAGCACCAAAGCACAGGGTCTACGACAAGAAGAGGCGACAACACGCCTTCTTTAGCGCGGCGTAGACCGTGCACGAGACCTTGATATTCGGCAAAATTGTTAGTAGTAGTTGGAGTGCCAAATGCCATTATGGCCACCCACACGATGCCGGCTGTGTGGGTAGGTGCGTGAAGCTTGACAATGACGGAGCCAGACCCGCCCGGCCCAGGATATCCTCGAGATCCCCCATCGAAGAAAAGCAGGTATAGCACAACTGGATGGTCAGCCAGCCGTATTGATCGCAGTGAAAATGGTTCATCGTGTAGTAGAAGCGTGTCTGCCAGTGCCGATCGCACTGCGCTAGTATCTGGCCATCATCTCCACCTTCCAGTTGGTATACAGAGCTTCGAAATCGTGTCAGTGCACGACGCAGGTGTGACGTAGCCCTGGAATGTGCGCTTCTTCTGGCAGGGAGGGATCTCGCATCCGATTCAGGCGCTCAATCCATATAGCATGTAGCGACGACGAAACGACGAATCGCCACAGTATATTCGCCGCGTTAAAGACTGCTGACTTTGCTTTGTACCGATCAACGCTTATCTCAAGGGATTGCTGAACTGCCGTCCAGGCTGCTGACGGCTGCCCTGGCAGCTACATGACAAACACCCAGACGTGCATGTCGGCCTCGTCAAAAGCTCCTAGACATCGCCGCAGCGACCGCAGATGGGCCCAATGGCGTTTTGCGCTGGTGCAGCTCCAGAAGACATGACTTGTTAATGCGAGAGACTTTTTGTCGCACTCGGTGTTGGGGCATGAGAGATCGTTCACTGCCCAGTTCCATAACGGGAAGCTTGTATTCTTGAGTCGATGCAGCGTTTGTACTTCTGTCGGAAGTTTTGCTCGGATCCGGCGGATATCACGCCATGCAATCATACCGGTGCCAGCTGAATTTACCTGAAAGCCGTGCTTCAGTTTTCTTGAGTCGCGCTTTTGTTATCCAATTCGCAAGCGGCAGTTGGCTAAAAGCTTCGTTAGCTTCTTTCTCTGTGGTTTCCACCGTCTAGAACCGGCCCAGAGATGCAACACCCGTGAAAGTGCCGGATGAGCCCCAAAAGGTACTGGGGTCTTGCTGTCCCGACTTGCTGCCCTATCACACCCCAGCATAGAGTCGACTATCGTTGTTCCGCCTCGTATACGTGTGTCAAAATGTTAAAGGGAAGCACCCTTCTCTTCCAGTAGCCATTCGTGATGATGATGGACCTTGGCCGAGTACGAGACCATGTCACCGTGCGGAAGCGCTCGACAATAATTGAGGAAACGTTGTAAGCGAGTGCAAGACAGAAAGATCAAAAGTGTCGCCGCTTCGCTATCGAATGTGCTGACATGACGGTACATGGCGTAAAGCAAGTCACGCCAGGCTGTATTAGGGGCCATGATAGTACATCGCCGAGAGTACGGGAACCGCGAGAGAATCCGGCTCCGTGCAGCTTGTACGGGGTACCTCGACGACCTCGAAGCCATGACATATCTTGCATCGTCACGTGCTCAAGTCATCGGTTATCGAAACGTCCCGTTGAGGCGACATCTGCCTTGATACCGTTTCGCACTTCGTCGGTTATTGCGTGACGAAAGTCGATGGTGACACTGCCATCATTGTTGTAGACGGTGTTGGCCGTAGAACTAAAACAGAAATCTCGGCGACTAACAGTCTGCACGTCTCCATGATGAATGTGACGTGCAGCCGACAGGCCAACCACTGCAGCTCCAGTCTCCCAGATGGAGGCTTCAATTTGAGGTTGCACCTCTTCTGTCCATCATGGTGTGATGTACGTCGGCCCATCCGCTGACATCCAGAGGACGTCTCCGATCAGGAGCTTCCGCTGCGAGAGGGCTGACGCCCATTGGTATCAACCTTGTTCTGATACATGGTATCGCCAGCCCACCCTGCTAGATAGGAAGTGAGGCCATTTGTTGTGGAACCCAAGATCTGGAACGCATTCCTTTCCTCGCCCCCCGGTTATAGTCCATGAGTAGTCCGTGGAGTCAAGCTACTATTCCGAGAGGCGGCCAGCAATGACGTGCCGAAAAGATAATTTGGGGGACCGCGATCACGCTAGCCAGACGAGCCTGCTGTTTCACAGTGTGCGTCTTCGCTCGAGCAAGGACGAGCCGACACCAGATAGATCGGATACATTTATCCCAGTTCTCGGCTGTAGCTTCTTGCTTCCCGACCATCACACCAAGGTACCGGCAAGAGTCCCTCCGCGCATAGTAGGAGACGTATAACGTGTCCCATGCTCCCTGTCGACACGTACTCTCGCTCTTTGACAGCTTTTGTCGATACCGTCTTGATCTCTATGTGCGCAATACGATGCCGACTGTATCCCTGTATGCAACTGTACAGTATAGCCATAACTAATCATCACATACGATGCGTTATCGCAAGCACTAGCACTTGCTACCAACCAAGAAACATTCAAGCAATTAGAACGCGCCTGCTAGCGTTCCCGCTACATGTTAATGCGTCTAGTTACTCCAGCACAAACGTGCACTCACCGTCATTGCATTTCTACTGTATCGCACCGATGCTCGTCAACGCTATCAGTCTTTACACTACTCCATTAATGTAACGGGGTAGCCCATTACATGATATTGGCACCAAACGGTGTCAATAGGGATATTGTCTAGCATTACAACATTCCACCAATATTATCCGAGATGGATAACATTGAAGGAATATTATCCCCGTTTAGGATACTATATATGTGCTGCTCGAAGATTAATTAATAAAAGACACATCAACCATAGATTACCACCAATCGCTGCTAGACGCGCGCAATGAGTGGTGAGCAGGTTGTCGTCATACGACGACGTAGATTAATTTAGCTAGATAAAGATTCAAGTTATATTGATAGCTTGAATATATAAAAACAGTTCTCTTTTTACCCTTTACTCAGTTTAGTTGTTGAGTAGATTAGCTTTCTCTGCACGTACTAGTGTACGTGAACTTTAGTGGCACCCAGACAAAGGGTGTCCAGTTACAATAAAAATCGGAGGAACATTTGATCTCGACGAATCGCCTCGTTCGACTGTTGATAAAGGGGGCCTCTTAGTGGAAGTGCGCATCTTATATCATCACCATATTTTATGTTCGGGTTTGTCTGGACCGACCCAAGGAAAACCTACACCGTACCTAAATCCCGTGCTCACTGATATAAGTGATTATGAATGTAATCAGCGTGTTTCATTTCTAGATTTTCGACCCGCACGGAAATTTAGAAAGAAGATCACGACACAACATCAGAAAGTGGACTGTTTGGTTTCCTTGATAGATTTTCGGCATCAAAGCATCAGATAGCATGTTAGACATTCTTTTGGTCAAGTGTCTGTATCATGGTACGATCTGAAATGAAACGATCAATCGTTTAGCAAATTGACCAAACTTGTGCCGTGTTACTGCATCGTCGTTATATTTCGCCTCTGCTACATCTCACTCTAAGTCACGATACATTCGAAGTGGCGGAAACGTACGTACTTCGTGACACCGAGCAATGAACGTGCCCGTACGTTGCACAGCAATGGACGCAAACTTACACAACTGAGGCCTCCCGTCTTCTCCATTAACGGTTGCATGGTGCTCACATCTTCACTCCTAGGAGGCATGGCAGCAACGCTTCAGAGCGCCATAGAGTGTTGCCAGCTGTCTCTTCTTTAGAGAGGCAAGAGCCATCCCAGACCTTTATACAGCCGGTCACCCATCGTGGCTCGATGCACCAGGATAAACCACTGCTGGCACAGACCATGTAGAGCCAGCTTGTCCGTCGTTTCAGCCGCGCTCATGGCATTCGATAGATCCTGCTTGTTCGAAAACACCAGCAGCACTGAGTCCCGCAGATCGTCCTTGTTCAGCATGAGGTGCAGTGTTTACTCGCTCAGCATGCGGAGCAGCTCGTCCTTGTTCAGCATCCACACGATCGCCATCGTCTTTTGTGTCGACCTCAAAGACCAGGCTCTGTGTGTTCTTACAGAAGTGGCGCCACCACGGACGGATCTCGTCCTGTTCACAGACGTCTTGCGCCTTAAAGCTAATGGATTTTGTGCTCTACCGTCATGACGATAAATCCTGCCACTGAGTCAGAGCCACAAAGTCAGTTAGACTGCTGTCAGTCATCCATCAGTAACACAAAACAGAGTAACAAGCACCAAGGCAAGGCAGTTCTATTCTTTACGTAATGCAGTCATAGACATCTCTTCACGTATTGGTAGTTGGGACGGTCGTGACCACTTCTCCTGGCTTGAGCTTGTACTGTATCGAGTAAAAACGGCAGCGTCAAGACCAACCATGAGGATGCATCATCGCCCTATTGCCGAGAAGGCGCTTAAAACGCGATTGAGAAATCACATTCTTGATTCCTGACTTGTCCTCGTGACGGCTATAAATCGAAAGACGACCATCTTTTGCTTCGGAAGTTCTCATACTGAGCTGTGCGAGCGAAGACACGAAAGCTTGTTATTTGCTCGGGATTCATCTACTGAAAAGCTGCAAGATCTACTTTACCCTTCGCCGAATGGTTCAAATAATTTTAGTTTTTACCATCGATACAATCCCTTAAATCAGTGGGTACGAGATTTGAGCACGGTGCAAATTTTCCTTCGGTTCGGTCCAGACAAACGCCATATGTTCTACAAGAAAAAGACAAGAACCGGTTTTCCAACATCCACGTTCCTCTAGACCTTCCAGAAATCCATCAGCGATCCGCCCCCTCAATCAAGCTGTCTACACCAGCCAATCAAAAACCATCTCCTGACCCCGCTCCAAAAGAATAAAACCGCCAGCAGAATAAACCTACCCCCACTTACAATAAACATCCAATCCCAGTTCGTCCCACCATCATGTCGCCCGAATGTCGCGCAACTCGCGCTCGCTGCTCGTCTCCACCCAAACGAAAACCCCTCCTCCCATCTGCCTCCCAGTTCCTCTCCTTCCCTCACTATGGTCCGCTTCTGCAGCACCCGCGGCGGCGTCCGAGGCCTCAGTTTCGAGCAGGCCGTGCTAACAGGTCTCGCATCCGACCGCGGTCTCCTCGTGCCCGAAGTCGGCGAGTTCCCGACGCTGCCAGCCAATGCGCTCGACCAGTGGCAGTCGCTCTCGTACCAGTCATTGGCTGTCAAAGTCATGAGTCTCTTTATTGACGAATCAGAACTCTCGTGCTCCGAGCTCCACGCACTCGCGAATAAGAGTTACAATCCAACGACCTTCCGGGCACCTGACGTCGCGCCTATAGTTAAAATCACGGACCAATTGCTCGTGCTCGAGCTCTTCCACGGTCCCACGTTTGCATTTAAGGACATTGCGCTGCAGTTCCTGGGCAACCTCTTTGACTTTTTCCTCCAGCGCAGAAACAAGACGCTGGCAGCTGGAGCTCCGAAGCACAAGATCACGGTTGTAGGCGCCACTTCCGGAGATACGGGGAGTTCAGCTATTTACGGACTGCGGGGCAAGCCAAACATCGAGGTGTTTATCCTGTTTCCAGAGGGACGGGTGAGCGCGATTCAGCAGCGCCAAATGACGACTGTGCTGGACACGAACATTCACAATGTGGCTGTGAAAGGCACGTTTGATGACTGTCAAGCTATTGTCAAGGATTTGTTTGCCGATGCTGAGTTTAAAGCCACGTACCACTTGGGAGCAGTCAACTCGATCAACTTTGCACGCATTTTGGCACAGATTGTGTACTACGTCTGGGCCTACTTTCGTGCCCGTGAACAAGGTGTGACTGGTGATATTGCTTTCTCGGTTCCAACGGGGAATTTCGGGGATATCCTTGCTGGGTTTTATGCCAAGAAAATGGGTGTACCCATTGGCAAGCTCATCGTGGCCACGAATGAGAATGACATTTTACACCGCTTCTTCTCCACGGGCAAGTATGATCGTCGCGATATTGAGCACACGATCACGCCGTCGATGGACATTTGCGTGTCGAGCAACTTTGAACGCTACCTCTTTGCCTTAGCTGGCGAAGACCACGATGTCTTGCGCGGCTGGATGCAGGCTTTTGAGCAAACTGGAGAGCTCACGATTACAGGCGAGTTGCTGGCTAAGGCCCAGGACGAAATGGCGTCGTACGCGGTGCTCCAGGAGGAGGTGCGCTCGACCATAGCCGAGTACAACAAGGTGCAGCACTATCTTTTTGACCCGCACAGTGCTATTGGCGCGGCTGCAGCCACTCACTTCGGTTCGGACGCAGGTACTGACAAGCCTGATTCGGCAGTGGTCGTCGTTGGCACTGCTCATTATGGCAAGTTTCTGCCCGTTGTGTCTGAGGCGCTCGGTGTGGCCGAGTCGGAGATCCAGCAGCACCCGATTTTGAAGGCCCTGGAATCTCTGCCCACTCGGGTATCAGCGGCCAACAACTCGACTGCTGATGTGGCTAAGCACATTCGCAAGACCCTCGACGAGAAGAAGTAAGAAGTTTGTGGAGAGTTTGCATGACAGAGCGCAAAGTGTTGACCACTTTTGCGTGTGGTGTGATTGCGACTGGTACTCTTGCTCTTTGTTGGCTTGGCACTCGGCAATCAGCAGCAAAGCGATAGCGAGAAGGGGTCGATAATGTCTTCGTAGTCCGACTTGATGCATCGTGTGGATTTTACATAGAGCAACAGAATAACGTGAAAGAGCGTCTTTATCCTTGAGCTTGCCACGCACAAGAGGAGGAATAAATTATGTTGGTAAAGAAATTTGACGACTCGTTCGTACCAGCCAGGAAACCACTGCATCCAATGCAGCAACGGCTTGACCTTATGCGTATCCGAGTGTGCTTCTATTTTGACCCGGTGTCCTTTATCTTAAATTGGAGCTTGTCCGTAATCCTTCCTTCGTGCGTGGCTCAGCACGCAACCTGTCATTTGACTGAATAGTGGAACAGCAGACAGGATGCTTGCATTCTGATGGCGACTAGGCAAGCATTCCACCATCCACCGAATCCTACTACAATATCGTGCAGCTACTTGCACAGACACCACATGGCGGCGTCTGGTTCTGGGCAAGATACGCTTTCTGATGTTGCTTCTGGAGGCTTTCACGTGTGACGGTGACAACCTCTAGAGATCCGTTTTTCGATCCATTTGCAGGCGATCGAAAGCTTTGCTGCGAAGGTTTCGCCGGCTCTTTCGGAGCAAATGAAATCCGCTCCTTCGTATACTGGTTCTCGTACGAGTATTCCCCCGGCCTCGTTCTGGATAAAACACGCCGCCACCCTGGCGGCAATCGTGCAATTTGCAATGGCTCTGCCGGTGACAGCAACCGTCCCACCGGCACAATCATCTTTTTGAACGCGTCCACCACATTCGTCGCGTCCAGTGCCGACGTCTCGAGAAACTCCATCGAGTGTTTTGCTGCAAACCTCGCTGCTTCCAGCGTCGACACTTCTCTGCTCTCAGGCAAATGCGCGAGGTCGCACTTGTTTCCAACGAGCACCAGCACGAGACTCTCGTGCGCGTGCTCGTGCACTTGAGCCAGCCACCCCGTCACGTGCTCAAAGGAGCTGCGGCTTGTAATGTCGTACACGATCATGGCCCCCACGGCATTCCGATAGTAAGCGGCTGTCAACGACTGGAAGCGTTCTCGACCAGCCGTGTCCCAGATCTGAGCCTTCAAGCGGCGGTCCCCGACTCGAATGGTCTTGGTGGCAAACTCAAAGCCCACGGTCTGGACACTCTGGGGCTTGTACCGGTTCTTGGTAAAGCGCCGAACGAGGTTTGACTTGCCTACGCCCGAGTCGCCAATGAGCACGACCTTAAGGATGGACTCGGGTTCGGGCGAGGAGACTGAGGACGAGCAGCCACGTGGACTCGTGCTTGAGCCGGAGAGGAACGAACCGGCGGCTGATGGCTTGGAAGTTGTATGTGGTTGGAAGACGTGGTGCCGGGCGGTGTAACTGGGCAGGGACGAGCTGGATGGGGCATGACTCGGGGCACGGTTATAGCTATTGGGGGGATTGGCCAAGGTATAGTTGTTAGGGGGATTGGTAGGGGTACAGCTGTTAGGGTTCGTGTTCATGGGATCGGTCGTGGAAGACGAAGATAGCGACGATGCGGTGGTGGCGCTTGATAACGACGCGACCTTGCGGTTTGTGCTTGACGTCATGGAGTAGTAGGTTGGGAAGTGGTGGTGGAGCGACGCCTCGAGAGAGAGAGAGAGAGAGAGAGAGGGAGAGAGAGAGGAGCGCTTCTGGGGGTTTGTACTGCTGACGCAGTCGACGTGTGTGACACATATCGAGTTTGGAAGGGTCGGACGAGCGCGGGAGGGGCGGCGTGTGTGTATCGAGTTTTGGAGGGGTAGGACGAGGGTGAGGTGGTATATTGGACAAAGATGAGGCGGATAAGCTGGACAATTTGATTTTGGTTCTATACGGTATTACAGGTTTTTTCGAAAGGTTGATTGCAAACAGCGATTGCGGTGCTGATTTGGTCGCTTTTTGTGAAAGGACAAAATGGTACAATCATTACGATGGGCAAGAGACAGACGATTGCTATTTTGGGCAAAAACACTCGACTGCTCTTGCTAAGATTGGGCACGTTGGAGGACCTGTTTCTGGCCAGGTACCCGCATGGTACCTGAGCAAATCGAGTGACACGAAGTACAAAGTCAGTCCATAATCCAAACGGTGCTTTAAACAAAACATCACGACATCTTACCAAGTGCAAGTCCCTTTTGCATCTCATTATAAAACTCTTTGGCTACAGTAGCTTCAACCACTGCTCATAAACTTTTTCCTCTTCTTCATATCGAGCTCGCAGTGCCAACTCATCAGCCGCAACTTGCTGTTCCGCACTCTGTTTGCCAATAACACTGTCGACGTTGCATCCAACGTCGTCAACACTATCCTCAATGTTGTTCTCCTTTGCAAGCGACTTTTCTGGACCCATTAGCGCTCCAGACTGCACTGCTTCGTCATTATCTCCGTCGCCTTCTGCAGCCACATACGTGTAAACACCGGGAGGAACTGGAGTCGGCAGCTCGCTGATCTCCATCTTAAACACTCGACCGAGGAGGTGGATCCCTTGCACTTCACTGTGCGAGAGCAATGTCACAGCCAACCCTTTCCCACCGAAGCGACCACTTCTTCCAACACGGTGCAAATAGGTTGCTGGATCCCGCGGAAGATCCAAGTTTACCTACGAAGTTGCAGTGCACCAGTCAGCTCATAGCATTATGCAAATACTGGCGCACATCATCGGATGGACTTCATTCCAGCCACCGTACCACAAAATTGACTTTGTCAACATCAATGCCTCGCGCAGTAAGATCGGTCGACACCAACACTCGTGACCGTGACTCTCGGAAACCTTCCATCACTTCCAAACGCGTCGACTGAGCCTGTGAGCCAGTGATGCATGCTGCAGGCCAACCCTGTTTCATCAAAGCGGTGGCCAGCGCTTCAGCTCGAAACTTGTCGTTGCAGAACACCATGCACTGATTGAACACGATCTCCGAGAGCAGTCCTGACAGCTTCAGTATCTTGGCCTTCATGTCAAGCGGATCACTCTCCACCGATGCGGAATGCAATGGCTCGATTATGCTGTAGTACTGCCGCACCTGGCGAAGCCAGAGCTCTGGTGAAGTCGACTGCTCTCGCTTCTCCCAACTCACTAAGTCTTCGGAACAAGATATGAACTCGGTTGTGATTTCATCCTGTCCGCGGGCTCTGATAATCTGTGCAACGTTTGAAGCAGAATAACATGCAGAGTGTCACATAAGATGCCACTACCGAATCTACTGCGCACGTTTAGCATCAAGCATACATGCCTGTGGAGTTCTCATCAGCGACGCGACAGAAAGTAGTTGGTCCGGAGTGAACGTTGCTGAAAACGCAAGTGTCTGCTCCAACACCGATGCAGCCAAGTAAGCATCTGCTATCTATACAGTGCGGTAACGAAATAGCATCGCTACACCTGGCGTCTCTCGGGAATAGCGTTCGCAATGTACTGGATCTGTTGCACACGCAAGATCTGGTCAACCTCGGATCAATCAGGCATCAAGCCGTATGTGTCCCTACATCGTTCTCAAAGTCTCGCGCCATGAGTTTGTCAACTTCGTCCAGTACCAGCAAGCGAATAGAAGTGCACGGTAAAGAACACTGGTCCACAAGTGCCTTCACACGCCCTGGCGTGCCCACCACAATGTGGCATCCTGTTGACAAGTGTGTCTGCCCCAGGCCAGCAAGCACATCATTGCTCTTCTCATCAGCAACTCCAGCATTAATCACACACGAACACTACCATTTCTGTACCTGATCTCGAATCACAGCAAGTCCTCCAATGCAAGTGCGAATGACAATCTCCGGTCGACATTGCGCCAATTGACGCAGCACCGTCTCAATCTGGACCGCAATCTCTCGCGTCGGGGCCAAAATCAGTGCCAATGGATCTCCCACCACCGCTTTCTCCGATTTACGACGCCTCTTCTCAATGTATCGAATAGCGTGCTCAATGGCAGTGACCCCGAAGACTGCGGTTTTACCCGTGCCAGACTTGGCCTGACCAATGACATCGTTCCCGAAGAGAGCCACGGGCAGCGCGTGCAACTGAATGGGAGACGGACGTAGAAAGCACATCGCTGTGAGTGCACGAACAACATCTCGATGCACCGGGAGGTCGCTGAACGTCGTACTGGAAGCCACGGTCGTGTCTGGACGAATTGCTGTCATGTTGAGCAATGCTATTGGACACGGTGACTTGAGCCACTGATAATGTAGCCATTACTTCTCACACACGTCGCAGATATGTCCAGCAGGTTACTGCTACCGTTTCGTCCTGGGCAATTGACAGAAATCAGGACGTTCGTTCGTGTAAACAACTTGCGGAAACCGGAAGAGAGTCTTTTAGTATGGAATTACACCGTCGTGGTCAGAAGCCTACAAACAGACACCCCTTGGTGTTTGCATTGACCTGCTTTCGTGCGCTGTCGCTGTCCGTCCCCTTTAGACGCCGTTATCATCAATCCAACTGTAGAAGGTCACCTTCAGCTGGAAATGATGTGAGCACCCATCCTTCTTGAATAATGCACAGCTTTCGAGCTAAGCCGCAATGCTATACGCTTCGCTAACGGAAGCGGAGACTGCGTCATGCGTAATCGGGTACTGCAGGTCATCCATTAGATGTCGCATAGTAAGCCTAGACGATCACACCATAATTCTGTTCATTGCTTTATGAAATAGCAGGACCCGCAGTTGACAAAGAACACGCAATCTTTGTTTGCCCGTCTAGCTGCGTTGGCGTTCAGTAGTTGCGTCGAAGTCCAGAAATTGTTCAGACCAAGCTTCGCCTCGTGGGACGTGGTCCTCGATACTTCCATGAATTAATGACAATTCCCGAAGGACCAGAACAACATACAGAAGACAGTGCTGTCCATACTGGACGACGTCTAGAGTGTCAAAAGTTTGGTGTTTTCAAGAGCTTTTAAACGTGCAAACGCAATGGGGCAATCAATAGACTCGAGACTGGCACACCCGGTTCATGCAAGTAATGAGCAAGAAAAGCACCATTTGGATGGTCTGCCATCGGACGGCAGGTGCATTCCCCATCGGACATCATCGCTCGTGTAAAGCCTGTAAAGCATCCGTTACATGTCACATACCTACATGACGCGATACAGATTTCTTTTGCCTCCCAATCTCCAAGCGACCTCTCTTTCACTAGCTCCCTCCTGGTTGAAGTCACCCACAGAGTGATGGTCAGTTTACGTGGCACACACCCATTTCCACGAGATTTCCTTTCCCCTCTCAACAGCAACCGACCAAATGCGCGCGCACGAGCACAAGATCGCGCAGCTACTCGAGAAGGTGCGCGACGTCTCACCCGCAGCATATCCACACCCATGTCCGCACTAACACGTCTCTCACCCTCTCTGTCTCCTCTCTGTATGTGCGTCTCTCTATCTGGTCAGACCCGGGACTTTGACAAGGATGAGCGCTACATGGCCACGTCGGATCTGTGCGTGGAGCTCGAAAAGGACGTGGAGCTCGGACCGTATCTCGAGCCCGAGTACGTACACAATCCATTCATTGCCCCCATATGAGGGTAGGGGCGCTCGTGTGTATGCGTGGTTAGGTCTCACACCGTCCTGCCTGCTGCTAGCGTCTGTGTGGCCGTCCTGGCGCAACTGAAGGACAAGTCGAACGACGTGCAGTCCATTGCTGTCAAGTGTTTAGGGGTCCTCGTGACGAAGGTGCAGACGAGCCAAGTGGCCGACATTTGTCGCAAACTCTGCGACCTCCTGCTCAAGGGCACGCCCGAGCTCCGGGACATTTACGCCATCGGTCTCAAGACGATCGTTGCTGACGTGACGCACAAGACGGCGGCGGTCATTGCGCCCGGCATTTGCTCGCGGCTCTTGACGGGGCTCAGCAAGGACCAAGAGACGGCAGTGAAAGCTGAGACACTCGATATCCTCACGGATCTCTTGCGACGCTTTGGCTATGACGTGGCGCTGGAACACGCGACGATCATGGAGCTGCTGATGGAGCAGCTCACGGACGATGCGCTGCTCGTGCGCAAACGTGCCACGGTTTGTGTGGGAGCACTGGGGGTCGTGGCCTCGGAGTCGCTCGTGAGTCGCTTAGTGGAGCATCTGATTAAAGACATTCAGGCGTCAAGAGACGCGGTCAGAGTGCGCACGCTCATTCAGACGATTGGCATGCTCTCACGCACGGCTGGTCATCGTCTAGGGCAGCATCTGGACGCTGTGATTTGCATCTTGGTACAGTTTTGCGGTGATTCTAAAGACGAGTCGCTGCAGCACGAAGACTCGGACGATCTCCGTAGCAACTGTTTTCAGGCGTTTGAGGCGTTCTTGAGTCGATGTCACAATGAGATCACGCCTCATGTGAACACGATTCTTAAACTAGCGATGCAGTTTATCTCGTACGATCCTAATTACAATTACGCGGACTCTGCTGACGAAGACGAAGAGATGGTAGAGGAAGAAGAAGAATACAGCGACGAAGAAGGTGATTACAGCGATGACGACGACACGAGCTGGAAGGTCCGTCGGGCAAGTCTTCGCGTGCTGGCTGCAATTATTGCGACGAGACCAGAGCTTTTGGAGCAGCTGTACATCCAGTGTGCTCAGCCCTTGATTTCGCGCTTCAAAGAGCGAGAAGAAAACGTTCGGATCGACGTCTTGGCAGTGTTTTCAGACCTTCTTCGTGCGACTCGCAAGACTCTTCCGAGCTCGAGTAGAATGGGCTCTTATCAGTACTCACCTGCGTCAAATGCGTGTACGAACCAGCTAAAACAGCGCCTGAGTGCGATCGTGCGTAGCGCAAACAAGCAATTTGAACCCAAAGCTTCAGTTTCGTCGCGTTGCGCAGTTCTTGCGCTGTTGAGCGAGCTCGCGATGCTAGAGCATGGAAAGTTGGGAGAATACATTGGTCTTGTCATGCCGAACGTTCTCAGTGCAGTGGAGGACAAACACTCAGACTTGAAGCTGGAGGCACTTACGTTTCTTCGCCTTCTTGTGGATACACACACTATGGAACCGTTCCGACCACACGTTGATGCGGTCGCTACAGTTGCAGTGCAGTGTGCAAAGGGCGATTGGTACAAAACAGTGGCAAAAGCGCTTGGATTGATCGAATCTCTTGTCCACATTATCCGCTCTGACATTAAAGACTTGATGTACAAATTGTACGCCGTGCCGTTCTTTGATGCGGTGCTACCTAACCTGAAGGCTCATGATATTGATCAAGAAATCAAAGAGGCTGCAATCAGCAGTATTGGAGAAATCGTTGCTATCCTGGGTGCGTACATTAAGTAGTATTGATATCGTAGTACTGTTGATTTGATGGATTAATGAATGCTATTGCTGTAGGCGACGAGCTTGGTCAGCGGGTGGAAGAAGTTTTTCCTCTGTTAATGGAGCGTCTAAACAACGAAATTACGCGCATCCATAGCATCAAGGCGATTGGAGCCATTGCTCGCTCAAAGCTTGACGTAGATATGACTCCGATACTCGCACAGTGCACACAGACCCTGGCTCAGATGCTTCGTCAGCAGTCTCGCACGTTGAAACAAGCGACGTTGACCACCCTCAACGATCTAGTCGTTCACAAGGGTGCACAAATGTCTGATGCTCTCCACTACGATGTAGTGCTCGAAGCTTCGCTACTTCTCGTGGACGTGGACCTGCAGCTGTGCCGCATGAGCATCACATTGATATCGAACTCTGTCCGCGTGTGCCCGCATGTTGCGTCAACGGAAGCTTTGTTGCACAACGCCCAAGTGAAAGCTCTGGAGCTGTGCCACAGTGCTATGCTTCAAGGCCCCACCTTGGGAGCTCTTGAGTCTTTTTTTGCGCAGCTGACACAGCTAGACTTACCCGGTAGTAGTTTTACCGACCTGTTCAAGGCGCTGATGGCTATTTCGCCCGAGGAGTCGAAGCACTCGGTGCTAAATATCGCAAGGTGTGTTGCTTGTTCGTGCGTGGCTACAACGGAACAAAACCGCAAGCTTGCTTTCGCAAAGTTTGTTGACGACATCACACAAAAGGAGTCTGAGAAAGACAAAGTACTGGCACTCTACTGCTTGGGAGAGTTCGGTCGAAATATTAAGCTAGCTGGCTACACAGACGTGAAGGAGATCATTTTGGAGTCCTTCAATGATGCTGGCGAAGAAGTAAAGGCTGCAGCTGCGTACTCTCTTGGTAGTATTTGCGTTGGCAACATGGAAGAGTACCTGGACATTGTTATGGAGAAGTTGGAGCTTGGAGATAATTCTTACTTGCTGCTGACATCGCTGCGTGAAGTCATTTTGGATCATGCAGCAAAGCCACACCACGGTTTTGCAATGTACGTGGATCGTGTACTTCTGGTTCTTCAGAGAATGAGTGCTCGTCAGGAGGAGGGGGTGCGCAACATGGTAGGCGAATGCATAGGAAAACTTGCTGCAACAAATAGTGCCAACCTGATGCCGATTGTGACCGAGCTGTGCGGATCTTCTGACGTATGGTCGCGTTGGACCGCCGTGACGAGTCTTAAGTATGCGATGACAACAACTGTCCAGGACCCATCCATTGATGCAATCTTCGCTCACATTGACCCTTTCCTGTCTGCGCTTGAAGATGAAGACTTGCACGTTCGCCGTGCTGCACTGTTGGTGTTCAATACAGCTGCCCATCACCATCCTCACCATCTGGTGCCTTATGTTCGCGAAAAGATATTCCCGGTGCTCTTGAAAACTAGTGAAATCAAGCTAGAGCGAGTGGTGGATCTCGGTCCGTTCAAGCACAAAGTGGATGATGGACTCCCTCTTCGAAAAGCTGCATATTCGTTTGTCGACACTTTGATCCAGGTGCTGCCGCGGGAGATCGACATCAATCTGTTTCTCGACCAATTGAAGCGAGGTCTTGGAGACCAGGACGATATCCAAATGCTTAGCCACCAGATCTTGATCAAGATATGCTATGTTCAGCCTGGTAGCATTGTGGGTGCACTGGATTCGTTACTGGAACTGTTGGAGAAGACGATCAACAAAAAAGTGAAGGAGGACCAGGTTGGTCCGGAGGTTGAGCGTGTGAAAGACCTTATACGTAGTGCGCTGCGTGCGCTCGATGCAGTCAGCGCTGTTCTTGACGCTGACGCCCATCCAAGGCTAAATGCCGTGATGACGAATGCCAAGAAGAACAAGATGCTCGGCGTCTTGTTGGAGACCATCCGCAATGAGCGCACGAATTAACTAAATGCTGTTGACTGTAATGGATTTGGGCTGGAGAGTGTCATTGTACACTGGTGGTGAATGGACGCGAAATGTCCAGATCAAGATTTGAGTTTGTGGCACTTGCTGATGGTGTTTTTGTAGTTCATCGTGGCGCTTCCGCTTATCTGTAGAGTCAGCACAGTCCAAACGTTTCGACGACATTACTACATCGGCGGGCATGTTCACTTGCTAATTCAGCATTTAAGGTCTCATTGCTGTGATGCTTTTGAGTGTCTTTGTGTGCATGGTCACGTGCCGATATGCCTTGCCATACTTCTCGTCCTCACGTATCATCAACGACTTTGCGACATTTCTTGTAACTTTTTCCCTTGTTGATGCATGCAATGCTAGTAAAAGTTGTCGAAGTCGTCTGCTGCCACAGGTATCCGCTATGGTGCGCCAAGCGTTTTTGACTGATACCTTTGCTGACTGGTCATTGCCGGGTATTTCCTCCTGTTGCGAAGCTCGTTCCCATAACTTAGGTCGCTTTCCAGGGCCACAACGTGACGTCCTGTTTTACAACACACGATTCAAATAGCTTCAATGACCCACCCTAGGGCTTTGTCTCATGCTGCTGTATCCAGTCAGCAGACACCATTCAGGGCTCTACAATTTCTCATCGTGCGTCGTAGAAACTGACGATATCAACGTGCGACATATCTGGATCCGATCGAAAGGCTCGTGATTGATAGCCGCTGGAACCAAAATTCTGGCGTCGCGTCGCGGTGTACTTTTGCTCTCAAGCAGTGGTGCCCACGTGCATTGCGTTTTCATGCGACCACGTGAAACAGTTGGTTTTTCAAGATGTCAGCATGCGTATTTCAGCACTCCCAGTACCCATACTGCCTCACTGACAGTGGCCTGACGGGATATGTTTCGAGACAAAGGCAGTAATACAATCACCGGATAGCGAAAGTCCTAGGGTGACTAAAGTGCCAATCGAGCATGACGATTACCAATAAGAACAGGACGATCGATCTCGTGCCAGTCAAAAGAACTTCATCAACGGGTGTTTCCAATTTAAGTCTTATCAGGCAGTCAGCGAGGTGCGCAAATATGAACGGCCAGCTACGCACTGTGATCGGCATTCGCCGCAGCAGTTCTACATACAGCAAGCATCTAATGACAACGAGGCTGTCAGAAAACTACTCACCGACAGACACGACGGGCTTGTCTGCCAGCTTGAGCTGCTTGCGCACACGCATCTTGAAGTCCGAAATCTCGCCTTGGTACACTTTAATGGACTGATTTTCCACGAGCCAAATCTCCTTAGCAACTTGCGAAATCAAGCGCATGTCGTGACTCACAAGCAGCATGCCGCCGCCAAAGTTGTTGATTGCACGAGCCAATGCATCAATAGACTCCATATCTAAGTGATTCGTGGGCTCATCCAGCAACAACATGTGGGCATTCTGTTGAGCCATGTACGCAAACACGACGCGACTCTTCTGCCCATCAGATAGCTGGCCCATGATCTGTGTCTGCACGTCACCAGTGATACCATAGCGACCCAAGTAGCTGCGCACCTCCTCCATTGACTTGGTCTGGAACAGCGACCGGAAGTACTCGAGCGGTGTTTGGGTCAGGTCTAGCACATCGACAAAGTGCTGACTGAACCGCGCGATACGCAGCTTGCTGTGTGGCCGAACATTGCCTGCAACCGGGACAAGGTCTCCCGTAATCAATTTCAGCAGCGTCGTCTTGCCCGTACCATTCGCACCAACAAGGGCAACACGCGAGTCCAGGTCCAAGCCCATCTCCACACCAGAGTACAGCAGCGGGGTGTTCGGGTAGCCAAACGATACATTCTGGAACATCAGCACTGGAGGCGGCAATGGCTCTGGATTGGGAAACTTAAAGTCTCCAATCGACTCTTGCTCGACCTTCTCCGTCAGCCCATCGCGCACCATCTTCGCCAGTGTTTTCTCCTTACTCTGAGCTTGACGCGCGAGCTTTGCAGAGCCGTGACCAAACTTGGCAATGTACTCCTTCATGTGCTTAATCTGGTCTTGCTCCCAGTTGTAGCGCTTCATCTGGTTTTCCTCCTTTTCCGACTTGGTTCGGATGTACGTGTCGTAGTTACCATTATAGTACTCGAGTTTCTTGTTCGTGAGATCGATAATGTTCGTGCACACTTCATTCATAAATTCCTGCGAGTGCGAAATCATCAGCAGAATCTTCTTCCACTTGGACAGGTAATCTTCGAGCCAGACAACAGCTTCCATGTCCAAGTGGTTCGTCGGTTCATCAAGCAGCAGTAACGTCGGCTGGATAAACAGCGCACGGGCGAGCGCAATGCGCATCCGCCATCCACCCGAAAACTCCTTCGTCTTCTTGTCCATCATCGCATCGGAAAACGTCAGACCCGAGAGAATCTGACGAGCTCGGACTTCGGCTGTGGCCGCGTCCATGTCGTCCAGACGCTCGTACAAGTCCGTCAGACGATCCGAGATCACTTCACTGTCTTCTTCAGCCAGAGACTCGTCCGTCATTTGCTCCGACAGCTCGTCTGCTTCAGCCTGGAGCTTGCTCCGTTCCTCGTCCACGGACAGCACGGCTTCCAAAGCCGTCATGTCACTGGCTTCAATCTCGTGCTTGAGGTGATAAATGTCGATACTGTCGGGAATGGGGATGCCGCGGGCTCCCAGCACGTTCATGAACGTGGATTTACCCGAACCATTGCGACCAATGAGACCGTAGCGACGGCCGTAATTGAGCGAAATGTCGCACTCTTCCATCAACACTTTGCCAAAGTACGTGATGCTAAAGTTCAGCACGTTAATGTCCTTAAAGTTCTTGTGCACCGAGCGCACGTTGTGCGAGCACGTGGCAATGATTCCCTCTTCGGCCAGGCGGTCGGCATGCGACATGTTGTCCAGCGCTTCGGCCTTGTCGGCCTTTTTCTTGTCCTCGGCCGCTTTCTTACGCGTCTCTTTCTTGCCCTGTCGCTCCTTCTTGACACGCGGCTCCTTCTTCTCGCGGGCCATGGCTACGACTTGGGACGATCCGAGCTCCTGGGACAAACAGATACTAGCGCTGCTCAATGGGTTCAATAGCGGAGTACCGATCTTTTTGACATCTGCGTGCTGGCGCGCACAGCCAACCAATAAGCGGAGAAGCAGATGAGCGATGGGATAAAACCTTGAGGGATAAAACCTCGTTGGGACTGTGAGAAAGGATATTTTGTGGACATTGATTGCGGAACGAGGTGACGGTTGCTGTGCTTTGGAAACGGTATACCCTGCTGGAATCGTTCGCTCGATTTCTGACCGAGATGGGCCACTGCTGATTGGCTGTCTAAGCGCATACGCGTTCGGATTGATCGCGCGTCGCGTGACTTTGTAGTCGTTACGACAGCTGTACCCCTCGCCTTGGCTGAGTACCCCCCCCTCTAATCCGGCTCCCTCTACCGGAGGGACACACTCCCCGCAATACGAACCCCCCCTCTAATCCGGCTCCCTCTACCGGAGGGACACACTCCCCGCAATACGAACCCCCCCCCTCTAATCCGGCTCCCTCTACCGGAGGGACACACTCCCCGCAATACGAACCCCCCCCGCGTATATTGTACATGTCTAACTTGGTATCGCAGAGATGGCTAAGTGCTCTTTCGTACCTTGATTATCGATACCCGTAATAATGAATCCTTTGTATGCGAGCGTGCCAATGCAATGCTCATCACTAGAATCTCGAGTCGAACAAATTTGGGCGTATGAACATCAGTTTTATTCTTTTACATTCCCACCGAAACAACGAAAGACATTTTTGAAAACAACGGGGACTTTTCTCACAAGCTTTGCGCCTAAAAAACGTCTTCTATGTCGTCGTTTTTAACCCAGAATGTGGTGAACTGACTGCAAACGAATCGATTTTGGAACTGAGTTCTGCCAGTGTTTAGCACCGCAGCAAGGACATCCAGGCCTTACGCATGTAAAGGAAGATACGAGGTAGCAAGATGACCTCGCGAACGCTGATTCAGGAGATAGTAAACCTCTTGAGGAACTGATTATATAATTGAGCAAACGTCTACAAAGAAAAGAGATCTTAGGCTTGGACTTGCTCGTCATTGGGTTGATGAAGGCCCTCGGACATTGTCCAGATGAGCCCGGTATGCACAAGTACGAACTATGGGCACGGTTATCTCACACATTTAACAAACACATACCATTCCGCTCCCTTTGTTGATGGATTGTCAAGCGTTTGGCTCGCATTTTTGACACAGTTAAAAATTTAGACAAAAATACCACCAGCGTAAAATGTAACGGGGTAGCCCGTTACATGATACTGACACCCAACGGTATCAATAGGGAGATTGTCTAGCATGACAATTCTCTGCCAATATTATCCGAGATAGGTGATATTGAAGGAATATTATCCCCTTAGTATAGCGTTTATGCGCTGCTCAAATATTAGTTGATAAAAGACACATCATTCAAGATAACCATCAACCGCTGCTCGATGCGCGTGAAGAGTGGTGAGCAGGTTGTCGTCATACGACAATGTAGACTACTATATTTGGATAAAGACTTAAGTATATTTATAGCTAAACACGATTAAATACAGCTCTCTTTTAACCCTTTACTCAAACTAGCTGTTTGGGGAGATTAACTTCCTCTGCACGTACGAGTATACGTGAATTTCGTGGCACCCTAAACAAAGGGTGCCCCGTTACATAAAGAGCTTATTCGGAAGCGTTGTTATCAGATTTGGAATTTATTTAACTGCAGATGCCAAAAAATTGAAACTTGTTTAATCATTTTCAAAGGTTTAAGGTTTTTGGACGCAATGAAGTTAAAAGGGGTCGGATTTACCTCGGACGGTGATTTTAGGTGACTTGATAAGGAGTGTGACATTTTGATCAACAATTTTAATCCTAAAAACTGCAAAATCGACGGAAGTCGAAGTGACGTTTTACCGTATACTTTGGCAGAAAATGTCAAGAAATAGGTAACGATTGAACGATATTAGCTAATCGGAAAAAGGAAGGTCAAATTTTCGTCATTTTTTTCTTTCTCAAGGCTCAGATTGGCCATTCTTTCTAAAAACGATAACTCGTTAGAAACAAGCACAAAAGCGATCAATGATGACGAAATAGGCGCTCACGTAAATACTTATCTTCTCAACATGCGGCAGCTGAAAATCGTTGTCACCTTCATTTTTGCTAGCGAGTGCTCACTGCCAATACCTCAATGTGGTTTGCTTGTGATGACGAGCCACCAAAAACCAGACAAAAAAACGAGCTGGCTTTTATCCAGTCATAACACTCAATGTAGCTCACATATATTTTCGGTCCATAAACACATGGGAAGTAGTAGTATCGCACATCAATATGCTCGACTCGATCGGAAGTAGTCTTTTCCTTAACCTCAGTTATGGCTGCTTAGACGTCCACGTGAATTATTGAGCTTGCTGTATAGGTACGTCAAAATATCTTGTATCTCCATGATGTCCGTTATATCAGGATCCATTCGTTAAGCCACCGGAGATTCGGCTTTATTCTATCGAGGGGAAACGAAGCTCTGCTTTCTGTACAGCATTCCTGCAACCACACCTCCCACCGTTTCGCCTTTCGTTTAGTCCGTCTGTGGTGTAGCCGGCGTCTCGATAATCCTTGACCAGCGTTTTAGTTGCTCTTTACATTACGATAAAATGCACACACTCACTCATTTCCTGTTAAGTATTTTGATCAACTCGGACTTCTCCGCATTTTTCTTCATCCCATTCTGCAACTCTCGCTCGCACTACAGCAGGACTTGATGTGACCAATATGAAATGTTTGTAGTTATACAAGCTCACGAGCCTTTCTGGTAGCAAACTTATAAGTTAGATGACCATCTGTGATAGAAGACGGATTACTCAGCTTCGCCAGACAATCTAGAGGTCTACTTAAATCCAAACAAGCACACAGATCCAACAAAATCCAGTCGAACAACTTAATTCTATTGTGATGTAGAGATTTAGTGGGAAAATCCTACACTCTTGGATCGTCGAATTCGTGTTGTCGAATTGGACGTCGTCGAATTCGTGTCGTCGAACTGGATGAGCGTAGTACATAGTGCGATAAGATCAGCAAAGATCCATTACCTTAAGCTTACGTATGAGGAATAAGAAGAAGATCACAGGACCACTCAACGGTTCAGCTATAGTAGAAGAGATGAACCAAGGCAGAGCAAAATTTCTAAGTCCAAGACACGTGTACACTTTTAGGTAAGTCTCTTCACGGGATAGATCATGCTTGCCGTCGAACATCAAGAGGCGTAGCTAGTAGAGGTGTCGACTGGTATCGCCAAGAGATTAGAAAGGCCCGGGTTAAGTAACACTCGCTACCTGCAAAAGAAAGAGTCTCGCCGACGTCGAGCCAGTGACCCAGTAGCCGGCACTATTAATTTTTTATAACGTGACTGGCTGATGACCCAGTAGACGGCACTGTTGAAAGTATTGCCGAGCGACTAGCTGGTGGGCTTTAGCCGAGGACCTAGTAAATCTTTTAACTGGGCGTACACTGCGCCCGGTGACCTGTAAAAACGCGTGAGCGCCGGCTTCCATCCTTTGGTGTGAGGTCACAGAGAGTGAAAGTTTTAGAAGCGGTTGAGCTCAGGCAGACTTCTGGAGGAACTAATTGTAAGAAATCGATGAGGCGAGCTCCACAACTACACCCCAAAGGGGCGAAATGCGAGGAAATTTCGTCCACGCACCAGCCCGTGTCACCTACTAAGCTCGGCGATTGTTGGGTTTTGTACGTTGAGACTGTTGTATTACAGCTATAATAACTACAATACCACACGAATCTCACTGTAACGCTTGTTGTGCGAATGACGACAACGACTCACTTTGATTAATATGTCAACTTTAAGTCTGTTAGCATATTGGAGTCTTAAGCTTGGCAGCGGTCTACTGTACATGGCAAAAAAGATCAATTTAAGTCTCAGCACGTGCTGTCTCGTGTCCTAAACGCCAAGATTTTGTATCAACTTGGTATCATTTTTTGTATATTGTCGGATATAGGGAGTTGCTTTAATTAAAAAAAAGCTTCATGCTTTCAATTAATCAGTTTTCGTACCCCCGTGTTGCACAAGTATGACACTGTCAAATATCTGTTGGTGGATGGTGATGCTTCCTGTGCAGTTGCACAGAAAGTTCATTTGTATTCAGGTGTGTTATTGTTTGTACTGGTTAGTAGTTAGTACAAGTATTGTAGGAAAAGTTGAACGGCGATTTGACAACGTCCAGTTGCTCAGTCGGGAAGGCGGGGCAGCGTTATCCCATAGGTCACTGGTTCGATCCCCGGTGGGGACAAGCTACAAAGTTAAGCCTTCGGGTCCTGGTATTTAGGGTTCACCAGTACTGTCCTGAGATAGTGAAGTGCCCTACTTTTGCGACAGGGGCATGACAACGACGTGTGATTGGTCAATTAGAATTGACCGGTCTGTAGGTGTAACCGCGAATAATGATTGGACAGCTGAGACGACTGGCGCCGAAGCGCAGAAGATCTAATAGTAGCAAGAATGATACTTACGGTAGGAAGAGGTAAACACACAATGCTATTCACTTCTGGTTTTACTGCCTCGACCACAAGTAACTTCTTCTAAACTCTTACGACAACCTAAAACTCCAACAGGTTATGAGCCCAAGCGTTGAGATTGCGCCCAAGAAAAAATTGTTCGAAGGAAAAACTACACCTTGGGGGCGTTCAAGATGAAGAAATTCCTAATGTCTAAGGGACTATGGGATGCAGTGAACGGTGCAGCGGCCGTCACAGCAGCTCAGGAGCAGCAGGCGCACGCAGCGATCGTGTTGGAAATTGAGCGACGCACAGCTCATGCACGTCGTTTGCACAGAGAATGCGCGCGATGCATGGTCAGATCTCGCTCGAGTTCATCAGACTCACGAAATGGCAAGTCGGCTTTGGCTGAAGAAAAAGTTTGCGTCTTTCAAGCACACGGCGTCGGACATGACATCTCACGTCATGGAGCTGGAGCAATTGGTGCTGAAGATGAATGAAGCTGAGTGTGGGCTGAGCGAAGAGGATATGTGCGCAACCATGCTGCGCAGCCTCCCAATATCATGTGAAAGTCTGGTTCAAGCGTTTCGTATAAGTGTGACGACATTTAGCTTCACAGACCTCGTGAGTACAATCATAGCCGAAGAGATACGCAAGAAAGACTCGTCGCGATTTGAAGAAGGGAAAGCGTTGCACATCGGCAAGTGCATAGACAAGAGCATGCCTACAAAGAAGAATGGCGGTCAGCGCAATAAAGTGTCGAAGGTTCAGTGCTCCAAGTGCGGAAAGCGCGGGCACTTCGCGCGCGACTGTTGGGCGAAGCCGTCAGGTAGTGACGAGGTGCACGAAGACCACTCTGATTTTGCATTTAACGTGTCTGAAGATATCACAAGCGACTGCTGGATAATGGACAGTGGCGCGACAGCTCACATGTGTAAGGACAGACTATTTTGTCGAATATGCAGAAATGACGTCGGTACGGAATGTGCTGAGCGCCAAGAATAGTGCTGGAAGGTGCTTGGACGGGGCACAGTGGTCTTACGAGTTTGAAACGACACATCGTGGATGAACGCAAGGCTGGAGAATGCTCTCCATGTGCAAGACCTCAGCAAGAACCTATTTTCGTTGACGGCAGCAACAGCGCGCGGGATGACGATCAAGATTGCACGCAATGACTGCATCGTCAAGAAAAGCGGACGACCCTTTGCGACAGGCTCACGGCGCGGTATGCTTCTTCTACTCAATGTTGAAGCCAAATTCGAGTGCTACATGGTAGAGGGCGAAGAAGAACTGTGGCATCGCCGACTAGGACATGTGTCCTACTCTACTGTGAACAAGCTGATCAAGCAAGGCTGTATTAACGGCAACTGCATCGATCCAAGTGTCGTTTGTGACTTATGCGCGACATCCAAGCAAGTACGCAAGACATTCAACAGCAACGAATCGGATACTGCAGCAAGGGAGAGTCGCCGCGAAGACTCGGTCGTGTGTTCGGATGTTTTAGGAACTGTGTCACCGGCATCCAAGTCGGGCTACCGCTACGTCCTGACCTTCATGATGATGAAGCGTCACTTTGCGATGGTTTAATCGCTGCGAAAGAAGTATCAGGTCATCTAGGCTTTCATAAAGTACTATCATGATATCAAGCTCGAATGCGACATCGGCGTGAAGGTAATCCGCAGTGATAACGGCGGAGGGTATCGAAACGATGAAATGAACCAATTTTTGTCTGCAAAAGATGATCAAGCAAGAATTTACCGTACCATGTAAATCAGAGCAGAATGGCATGGCAGAGCGCTTAAATAGCACACTGGTAGAAATGACTCGCTGCATGCTGAGCGACGCCAAGATGGATAAGGCATACTTGTATGAGGCAATGTTAACTGCCGTAGACATCTGCAATGTAGTACCTCATGCTTCAAGTTCGAAGGCAAGTCCGTTTAAAATTCTGTTCAAGCGCAAGCCACAGATCGATTCTATGCGGGTGTTTGGTAGTCTATGCTACGCGCACGTGGCCAAGGCGAAGAGAGCCAAGCTAGACGACTCAGTCGTGCGCTGTTTGCTACTCGGCTACTTTAAACAGCACAAGGCCTATCGACTTCTAAATGCAAGCACAGGGGATGTGGTGATATCTCGCTGCGTGACTTTTGCCCAGCATGCGATAGTAAAAGCAAGCAGAAACAACACATCAAATGTGATCGACGATTTGGATGACAAAGATTATGTACAAGAGCCTACAGATGCAGCAATGGATGGTACAATTCACACCCTAACACCCGGAAATCCAAGTGTCGCCCATGTTAACACGGGGCCAACTGAACGACCTGCTGGCTCCGTCCCAATGCGACAATCGAGTACAGTGGGGCTTGACAATGAACCAATGCCACATGTGCGTCCAGTGTGCAAGAATAAACGGTCACTCGCTACGAGCAAGAGTTTTCTAACCTGCAGTCCGGTGTATTTCTCTCGATGACTATGAAGCTGGCTACAACGCACAATACTGCCTTAGCGCAGAAGATGACGGCGAGAGTTCGTCGACACACGAGCAAGTGCTAAGGAGCAAGGACAAGAAAGACTGTATGCGTGCCATAAAAAGCAAGATCAAGTCCCTTGCGCAGCACAAGACATGGACTCTTGTAGACATTCCTAGCGACAAGAGGTCGATCGGGTGCACCCATAGATCGGCGTACGTAAACACAAGGATCAGCTGCTGCCTTCTTGAAGCCTTGTCCTTCAAGGTGTTGATTAAGACGAATGCTCCATTCGCATGCTGCCTGCTTTGTGCCGTATTGTGCTTTGTGCAATAGACACTTTTTACCACGGTGTTGCTCAACCGCAAAGCCGTCCAGCTGGTCCATGTAGATCTCTTCCTTAACTTTTTTGTAAAGGAAGGCAGTGTCAACATGACATTTTCAATCTTCAAGATATCTTTAGCCGCGAGAGCTAACTCGACATTGATCTACTCTTATACGATCCATGGGAGCGAAAGTATCGAAATAGTCCACGCCAAGACGCTGTGTGAATTCCTTAGCCACGAGTTGTGCCTTAAACTTTACAATCGCCCCGTTCACGTTGATAACTTAATGATTTTTGCGCGGACGCAAAAACACATCGACGACGTCAAGCGTGGACTCAAGAAGAACTTTAGCATCAAGGAGCTCGGTGAGCTAAAGTACTGTCTTGGTATTGAAATGATGCGTGACATTAACAGCGAGACAATTCGGATGAATCAACGTGGATATTTCAAGCGTCTTGCAGAGAAATATGGCGTAGACAACTGCAAGGACGTGCACACGCCGACTAATGAAAGAGAGAAGATTATCTAAAGCTCACGACGGATATAGATTTTGTGCCCAAGTGGCCTTACCGCAATCTGGTAGGTGCTTCAATGGACGTCGCCACGTGCACCCGCCCGGATATTATGCATGCGGTTGGAGAAGTAGCCAGGCATTGCGAGAAGTATGAAAACAGCACTGGACAGCAGCAAAGCGAGTGCTAAAGTACTTGAAGACGACCGCGGACTTCAGCATCGTGTTCGATGGCAACAACAAGCAAGAACCGCTAGGCTTCGCGGATGCGTCGTGGGCGAGTGATTTGGATTCACGTCGCTCGACAACGGGCTACGTATATTTCATAAACAATAGTGTGGTATCATGGAAGTTGAAACGGCAGCCGACGGTGGCAACGTCAAGCACCGAGGCAGAGTACATGGCGTTGTATACTCTGCGACACAAGAGGTGGTATGGCTGCGTTTACTGCTTTCGAATATTGGTATTGTACCAGAAGCGGGAACGACAATCTATGAAGATAACCAAGGCTGCATTGCCCTGGCAAAGAACCCGGTGTTTCACTCAAGAACCAAACACATCGACACCAAATTTAGTTTTCTTCGCAAAAAGATTGAGGAAGATGTCATTGAGCTCGAGTACATGCCTACGAATCACGTGGTTGCAGACGGCTTAACGAAAGCTCTCGGGCGTGTCAAACATGAGAAGTTTCTCAAAGGTCTTTATCTCGAACCTTAGGCGCAAGCAAAGAAGCACATGCGCACTAAGGGAGAGTGTTGGTGAAAGGTGATGCTTCTTGTGCAGTTGCACAGAAAGTTCATTTGTATTCAGGTGTGTTATTGTTTGTACTGGTTAGTAGTTAGTACAAGTATTGTAGGAAAAGTTGAACGGCGATTTGACAACGTCCAGTTGCTCAGTCGGGAAGGCGGGGCAGCGTTATCCCATAGGTCACTGGTTCGATCCCCGGTGGGGACAAGCTACAAAGTTAAGCCTTCGGGTCCTGGTGTTTAGGGTTCACCAGTACTGTCCTGAGATAGTGAAGTGCCCTAATTTTGCGACAGGGGCATGACAACGACGTGTGATTGGTCAATTAGAATTGACCGGTCTGTAGGTGTAACCGCGAATAATGATTGGACAGCTGAGACGACTGGCGCCGAAGCGCAGAAGATCTAATAGTAGCAAGAATGATACTTACGGTAGGAAGAGGTAAACACACAATGCTATTCACTTCTGGTTTTACTGCCTCGACCACAAGTAACTTCTTCTAAACGCTCACGACAAATAAGAAATTATCAATATCAACTGTATCGCAGCCGATAAAGTGGAGAAATTTATCTGTAAAAACTGACAACAAATTACCCGTTTCGACGGAAATAAAGTAATGCCTCTCATACAAAATTCGGTCTCAATCTTTTTGTCGTGGAGATATTGTTTTATCTTATTGCCTGGACGCTAGAATTCAACTGCAAGCCGTGTTGCATGCGTAAACTCGTATGCGTATTTTTCGCATTTTTTCTGCGTGCCACTAGCTTATCTTGTATTTTCGATAGTGTCGTCCGCCATGCATTATTAAGCATGTAAACTGTAGGCATTGAGGTATGTTTCGAAGGGTATAATTTTGGTGCCTTCTTTCAGAGCAGCATCGTGTTGGACGAATCTTGGGAGCATTTATATGGGCATATGTGGTCAAGTATCGGGAACAGACACATGAGAATTTAGTGACAATAAGGCAGAGTAAGATCAGACGAGAGCGCTGCGATTGAGCAATGCATACGTTCTTACTGCTCAAGTTTCTCATTTCTGCACAGGCCATACTCGTTTACTATATATTATGATCTCAAACGATGAGTCTGGGCATTATTTTAGCGAGGTGCAAGCACCCCCAGCCGGAAGTGGCGCTCACGAAATAAGCGGTAGTGACGTAGAGACTTCATTTTTAAAATATAGAGCACGTATATAAGCACTTGCGCTAGTAGAGACCCGTATGGACGCAGTTAAACGAAACAGTGTGAGCGTGTCGTAAAATTCGCCGGTCTAACCACTCGCGCAACAAGCAGCCTGGTAAACGAGTTTACGGGCGCAATATGGCGTAAGCTGCGTTTGCAGGAAGCGTAATTTTTTAGTGGTCGATGACGGCAGTGCGCTAGGCTTAAATCAATGCAAATTGACGAGATATCCAGCACGGAACTGTTTAGGGATGGGAGCTTTTACTGTTGGACGAAGCACAGCCCATGCTAACCAAATTGCGGTGCAGGCACAACCCTATGCACACTCAAGCTCCAGAGCGAGCACAAACGTGAGCAGATCGTCAAGATCAATCGTACCAGCAGCACATGAATCTTGGTGGTCAAAGTGTACCCACCGCTCTAAACTTAAACTGCTGGTTGTGGGAATTCAGCGAATTGGAGGGATACAAAGAGCTAGGAATTTTGTTTTGCAAATAGGCGCTACTGGTTCTTGCATCCATCGAGTTGGCTGAGATAGGCTGCAGATACAGTTGGACCTAGCGAGTAAAGGCATACAAAATTCAGCAACATTTGGAAGAGATTTTCTTGTAGTATTTACAAGCGCACATAAAGTGGTGGTGGATGCGTAGCAAAAGCATCGCATACGTGCTCATGCAGATATGTTTAATTGCTTATATAGAGACCATTATCTACTATCAAGAATTTTAACTTTACGGGAGGAAATGTACAGCTTGTTGACGTGCAATGAATCCTAGATGTATCTTACGGCACTCATGAAATCGAGTGAAAAAAGAAGAAAAAACTTGTGCTGGAAAGCGTCGTGCAGTAAGCTGCGCCACACATGAAAGTTGTGAATATGGGAGAGTTAGGATCCGATCCACACGGACCAGCTTCCCCACACACAAGAGCTTGTAGAATAGGAGCAAGAGGTTGAGGATGACAACCGTATAATAAGTAGAGTAATTATAGGCGTCGTAAATCAGTTGGCAAAACGATTGATGTTATACTTGGAGAAAACCGGTCGCATAGCCGTGGAGGGCAGATATATCAAGACGAAAGATAGCGCAATAGTCGGTGATAAAACTTTTATACAGTAGAGGTAGAATAAGGAAAAAATAGAAGTGATCATGTTTAGCAAACTCTGTCTTGGTGCTTGCGCTTTCACAACCTACCCTGCTAAACGTAACCTATGCAAATCGGAGAGCGGGCGACCAACATCGGTTTCGTAACGGTCCGTCCAAGACCAAAATACCGATGGTGGTTTTGTAACGGTTTATTCAAATCCAACAAAGACTCGATGGGCGCTTGCAGCTCACGGAGATGGTGCGGAACTAAGAATCTAAATCATAGATAGCGGTGCAAGCATACACTTGGTTCCAGATGTCTCGATGCTTGAACACGCCGATAGACTGCGACGAGACGAACTGGCTGCTCCTTTTATGGCGAACGACTCTAAATTACAAAGAAAGGGACTACGGAGCTTTTTGGAGTTGCCGAAGGGAAGGATTTTGAACATAGGCTAAGCAACGTTATCTTCGCGCCTATTCTATCTCAAATTGTATTATTGTTTGGCGTGATAGCTCAGCGAGGATGTCGTATTGAATCGCTTCGTGGAGGCACGGTTGTTACAAAGAACACACTGTCGCAGGTGTATTTTCACCTACAATTAGAGTCAAACTAGCTATTGGCAGATCTTCGCAATTTTAAGCTACGAAGTTAGTCATTTCAATGCATGCTGAGGACCGCGATTGTCCAATAACCACGTGCATATGAATTGCATGAAGTCTTTCTGACGTATCCCAAGTTCTTTTTGGCTACTTGTCATTCGACGCCTTCGAGCAAATAGCCCGCGATCCCGTGTTGGGAGTGAACTCTTACAAACCTCACGCGAGTGAAATCCCGTACCTTTTCCGAGAAAATGACAAGTGAGTCGTGTGAGTCAAAGCAAGGTTCGAGAAAAATTTGCCGATAAATCGCATGGCACCATTTGCAGTGACTTGAAAGAGTTTATTTTACGCTGCTAATCGTCATGGCATCCGTAATTATTCAGTTTTGTGGGAAACAAGACGAAACACGTGCACGCATTTGCGGTTAAAACAAACGACGAAATTGCGAAAAAGTCGATTGCTTTCTCGCATGCTTTGAGATCCGTTCGGGCTGTCGCGTGCGTGTCTTCCGTATGATATCGGAGAGAAGCATGCAAACGTGGACCTACATTGTGATCAGCAAGGACAGTGTCTTCAGGTGTGAAACAGTGAGCCAATCCAGGGACGAGAAAGCTGAGTGCATAAATCGAGCCAAAAATGAACACGATTCAATGCATGCTTTTTGGAAAAAATGCTCTCAGTTGCCAGATCTATACAAAGGATTACAAGGCGAACATCTAAATCGCATTCCAACTCGTGCATACAAAATATGGCTTTACCCCTCGAGCTTTTGACTGGACAAAGGTATTGATAAACTGGAATCGTGATATTCAGGTCACTTAATATTATACCGAAAGAAGCGAAATGTTAAATGGCCGTGATGAGAAGTAATCATTGGTAAATATGAAGTCATGGAAAGCTATAAAGAGAAGTATCAATTGGTAAACGTGAAGTCATGGACGGCTAGGTAGACTAGACATTGAAAGATGACCACGACGCGCTACGTCAGTGCAATCGGGACACTAGGCGCCGCTGAGAACGAGCAGACGTGTCAGGCACACGAAAAAGAAATCAATACTGATGTCATTTCAGACGGGAACAGCCGGGATTATGCCTTTACATGATACAGTCTTCCTCTTGAGAGAGGAGAATATATCCAAAGTGAATAGGAGTCGTTCGTCAAGTGCGCATATAGCCAATTTTAAAGAGTGCGGGTAGTACGGGTATTGGGATATCTATGTGGAACAAGATGAAGTTGCGTCAAAGCTTAGGGGAGGTGAAGAATAAGGGAGTTGGCCCGCCTGAAGGTGAGCCTTATCTGATGGCGTTGTTAGTAATGGAAATTTCGAAGAATATGCCCATCGCTTTATCTGCTGATCATGTACCTGAACCGAAATCTAATGGGGAGGCCCGGCGCAGTTCCACAGTGACCTTTGGGAGTAGCGGGATGTTGAAATGCTGAGGCTACTGGAGAAAAATGGAACACGAGCAATGATAAAGTGTGAGTCTAATTCCAGCCGAATTCACACAAAGTGGATGCATAAGACGAAACGACGTGGCGAAGTCTAGATTGATAAGTTTTAAGCGCGCCTTGTCGCGTGTAGAAATGAGCAATTGCTCGAGATTCGAAAAATTCTAAAGTAAATTGCGGAGGTGGTGATCAGCAACATCAAAGTGATTTTTATGCTTTCAATGTGGGGGGGGTGCGCTATGCCGGAAACTCCTCAGCGGACTACTTTAAAGTGATGACTATAGACAAGTACAACATTCAGCTTCAAATATATCCGATTTCATGAAGGTACCGACAGAGTTGCTGAAAGCATCTGGGAGCTACAAGCGTGATGGAGCTCTTATCCCTTATTTAACGAAGTTTGTATGCTTTTAAACAAAGCTGGATGTATTCAACACCAACTAATCAAAACGACTCTCCCCAAACATATTTTCATCCAATCCATTATGAATATTTACAATTTTTTCAAAAGTGGATACTAAGAAATTACAGTTATCCTTTTGTACGTCGAAGATTTGCTGGTGAATGCGACAAGATCCGATAGTGTAGACAAATCCTTCTATTTATGCAAGTTCGCAAGATGAATGACCTAAGGGATACAGCCAAGTTTCTTGG